GTAGGGTCTGCCCCTCCCCGTGGAGGTGTCTGTCTCTGACCATGACTTAGCACCTTCTGGAGACCTGCAGAGGGGCCTGGTGGCCTGCCGTGTCTGTGTACCCTGGGAGAGCTGAGAGACCAGGGCTTTGGCAGTCCGTGTGCGCTCGCGGCTGACTCCTGCTCTTGTGCCTGTCAGGACCTGATCATATTCCCCGACGACTGTGAGTTCAAGCGTGTGCCGCAGTGTCCCAGTGGGAGGGTCTACGTGCTCAAGTTCAAGGCAGGGTCCAAGCGGCTCTTCTTTTGGATGCAGGTATACAGGAGGGTGTGCTTTGTGTTTTTCCTTTTTTGCCAGCGTGCCACAGGGTAGAATTGGCTTTGGCACACAGCTGTGGTGGCCTGGGGTGCCTGAGACACGTTACCAGGTGGTGGGGAGTGGGGGCCGTCTTCCCCTGTCCGAGGTGTGTGACTGGGCCCTGGTGCCTTTCACAGTGTGCGCCCTGCCTCGCGGAGGCGTCTGCAGCTGGTATGCCGCTTCTGTTCCTGTCGGTGTATAGTCAGTTTCTGTCTGGGGTGACAGGCCCTGAGAACGAGGTGCCCGCAGATGGAAAGAAAAGCACGGGAGAGACAGTGATGGGATCTGGGGGCTTGCAACCTCTCGAACTGAAGCCTGGATTACCATCCTCCTTAGCCTTTTATTGGGATACAAACATAAAGCAGCTGGGCTGGGCATATAGCTCAGTGGCACAGCGCCTGCCTGGCAAGCGTGAGGTCCTGAGTTCGATTCCTGGTACCAGAAAAAAACCAAAAACAACAACCACCAAAAAAACACAAAAAGTAGCAACAGGGCAAATGGGAGGAATAATTAACAGGATTGGCGAGGACAGTACAACTTAAGTGTCACAGGAATGAGACTTGACTAGTTAGCCATCATGTTGTCATTCTTCCGGGCAGATCTCAGCAAGGCATCTAGTGCTGTCCCGTGGCTTCCCACAGGGACACAGGTCCTGCTGTCGTTTCCTTTTACACGAATGCTCTTGCTAGACTTCCTCCAGAATCAAACAGTCATATGGCTTGGTCAGGCCCGAAGTCTCACGTAGGTGATACATTGAAAGATAAACGAAAGAATGTCTTCCACACGTTCCCACATCCACCTCTGCTTCCTCACTGTCCATCGCTGAGGCGGGTAATCTGGAGGAGCACAGTGTCCTTGCTGTGTTTCTCACAGACAGGGCGCGCCCCCGACTCCCTCACGGTGTGTGCTGGAGGCCTGTGAATGTCACTGCAGGTTCCCTCGTCCCATAGCTGCTTCTGGGAGCCACCACCCGTCCTGCCACCTGTTGGCGACCATCAGACGTGTTTCCCTTTCTTGCACTGTCACGGGCAGTGTTGCAGTGAACGACCTGGGATACAGGTCTTTCCGGGGTGCAGGTGTGACCTGGAGGTCAGAGCTGTGAGTGGTATTTGCCTTTGGAAGCCCATGCACGCGTCTGCAGTTTGGACAGAGGTTGCTGCTGTCTGCGGATGTAGGACTGCTGCCTGGCCCCGTACTGTCCAAAGGGAAAGCCGCGAGGACCCTGGGTGGTGGGTGTGGCCGTGCTCCACTACACTTCTTGTTTACAAACAGCAGTGGGTGTGCTTTGCTGGCCGCTCTAGTTCCTTGCTGTACCATGAACTCTGGAACTCTCGTCCCCTCCCTTCCGCCTCTCTGTCTCCTGGATTTGCTCATGTAACGGTTTTCGCGCCCTCACCAGGAAGGCAGGGACTGAAGCCTACAAGGCTCAGAGCAGGTGCTCAGACTGCGTGGCTGCTGTTCTGCAGTTCTGGGGGCGCCTGTAGGGTGAGCTGCCTGAGGACCCTGTTCGCCCCTGGGCAGAAGTGTGATGAGGGTTGACTGTGCCCGCTGGTTGAGGGCAGGAGACTGCTGAGGGGAGAGGGCTCAGCCTGGCAGCTGCTGAGCCCTGCCCTCCCGTGGTTCAGTGGGTTGTCAGCGGGCACCCGTGATGACGGCCAGCGGGGGTGGCGGAGTCCTTGGGGTGCTGCTGCAGCCCTGTCAGCCGTCTGGGCCGGTCCCGTCCGTGCTGTGGGCTGTGCCCGGGGCTCGGACCAGGCAGGGGGGCTGCTGGGCCGCAGCCTGCAGGAGCCGGCGCCTCGTGTGGGCTGCTCAGCTGGGGCTCTCCTCGTGTCCTTCCCTGCAGGAGCCGAAGACTGACCAGGACGAAGAACACTGCCGGAAGGTCAACGAGTACCTGAACAACCCCCCGATGCCCGGCACGCTGGGCGCGAGCGGAAGTGGAGGCCACGAGCTCTCCGCACTGGGCGGTAACGGTGACCTTAGGCTCTGGTAGTGCGGGCCAGTGTTTCCTTGAGTCTGGCCTCCTAGACCATTCAGCCTTCCTGACACCCTGAGCTCGTATTTCTAAGCAACTAGCAGATGCTAAGTTAGAGCCCTGTTTGCAGTTCCGCTCAGTCCCATCGCGTCTCCCTGGGGTACGACGTGCCTGGCCCCCAGTGCTTCCTGCCAGGCGCCGCTCCCTGTGCAGCGGCAGGGCCTAGCACCCTCCCTCGGAACCGTGCTGCTTGCACAGGCTGGGCCCAGTGCGGCCCCAAGTCTGAGCCCTGTGTTTTCCAGGCGAGGGCGGCCTGCAGAGCCTGCTGGGGAACATGAGTCACAGCCAGCTCATGCAGCTCATCGGACCGGCCGGCCTTGGAGGACTGGGTAGGGTGCCACCCTGCCCTCGAAAGCGGGCCTCTTCCCCGTGCTTGCATTGGAACCTGGTGTTTCCTCGAAATGTTTGTTGGTGCTCACCGAGCAGCATCTGGGTGTATTCCTTGCACATATTTGGCTGGGAGCTGCGTGGGTGAGGCCTCTCGGGGCCCCAGGGGAGGACCCAGCTTGGTCTTCAGTGGTGCAGCTTGCTAAGGGCAGGGCTGGAGATGTGAGCTCTGGGCTTCTGCCTGGGGTTCCCAGGTTGGCCTGCCACTTGGTGGTATGATACTGTGCTGGATACTTAGGATGCAGTTGGCATGTTGGCCAGGATTGGGCCAGAATTTGTTTTTTGGTTTTTTTTCCGGTACCAGGAATCGAACTCATGACCTTGAACTTGCCAGGCAGGCACTGTGCCACTGAGCTAAATCCCTAGCCCCAAATTTATTTATTCGTTATTATTACTGTTTTTTTTTTTTTACGTATGTGGTGCTGGGGATGGAACCCAGGGCCTTGTGCATGCAAGGCAAGAGCTCTACCACCAAGCCACATCCCCAGCCCCTTGGGCCAGAATTTGATAGTGGGATGGGTAGGACGGAAGTGGTCTGGCTCTACCCAGCAGGTAAATCTCCAGCCAGAATGGGAGTGGTCACCCTGCTTCCTGAGACCTGCCTGCTGTGCTTGCTGCCCTCCCTGTGCCCATCCCGTGGGTTGGGCTTGGGGCGGCCTGTGGAAGGGGCTGGGGTGTCTCAGCACAGTCTCCTTGCTGCTTGTAGGTGGGCTTGGGGCCCTCACTGGGCCGGGCCTGGCCAGCCTACTGGGGAGCGGCGGGCCTCCAGCGAGCAGCTCCTCGTCCAGGTGAGCCCACAGCACCCCGCCTGCCTGCCAGCGCCACCCTTCCGCAGACCCGCCTGGACTGTGGGGTGGGCGGAGTGGGCATCTCCAGGGTGCTTTCATGGCCCTGCCTCTTCCCTGGAGCCATGCGGAGGGCGCTGGTGGGAGCTCACCCTCCAGCACTGCCCTCGCTCTCCCCAGCTCCCGGAGCCAGTCAGCAGCGGCTACCCCATCCTCCACCACCTCCTCCGCCCGTGCCACCCCAGCCCCTTCTGCCCCAGCAGCTGCCTCAGCGACCAGCCCGAGTCCTGCGCCCAGCTCAGGTAACGGAGCCAGCACAGCAGCCAGCCCAACGCAGCCCATCCAGCTGAGCGACCTCCAGAGCATCCTGGCCACTATGAACGTGCCCGCCGGGCCAGGCAGCAGCCAGCAAGGTGAAGAGTGCGTGCGGTGGGCCGGGTGGGCCCTGCCCCGCGTTTGCTCCCTGCCTTTCCCGAGGCACTGGGCTGAGCAAGTCCGACTGCCGCCCTGTGGAGTCCCAGTTTGCCCCTCGTGCTGTGTGGCTAGCGGTTTCCAGGGCGCGTGGCTTGCCGTCGCCCTCCACGTGGGCACCTGGGCCCGCGCTGTGGCGCTGACGGCCGTGTGCTCGTGCCCTAGTGGACCTGGCCAGCGTGCTGACGCCAGAGATCATGGCGCCCATCCTGGCCAACGCAGACGTCCAGGAGCGCCTGCTGCCCTACTTGCCCTCTGGGGAGTCGCTGCCTCAGACTGCAGACGAGATCCAGAACACGCTGACCTCGCCGCAGTTCCAGCAGGTAGGGGAGGGCCTGCCCACCCTCAGCGCCTTGCGCGCGTGTGACTTGGGTGCAGGGCAAAGCTGTTCCCCAGTGGGGTCCGGGCTTGGGGCTCTCGTGCCCCGACTCAGCGCGGCTCTTCCTGCAGGCTCTGGGCATGTTCAGCGCAGCCCTGGCTTCCGGGCAGCTGGGACCCCTCATGTGCCAGTTCGGGCTGCCTGCGGAGGCAGTGGAGGCCGCCAACAAGGGCGGTAGGTGCCTGTGCTGTCGCCCGAGCTCCCCATTCTCACTGTGTAAAGGGGTGCTGGCTCTGCCCGTGCTTTCTGCCCCCCTTGGGCAGCAGCCCTGGACGGGGCGCAGCAGCACTTCCATTGTGTTTCAGATGTGGAAGCCTTTGCCAAAGCGATGCAGAACAATGCCAAATCTGAGCAGAAAGAGGGCGACGCGAAAGACAAGAAGGACGAAGAGGAAGATATGAGTCTCGATTAAGTTATTTGCTCTTTTAAGGGATTGGAACTCTTAGTCATGTGACTCCTGTAGTGGCGGTTGTGATTTGTTGCGTGCCCTGTCCTGTCCTGACTTACTAATAAATAAAAGCCCTTTCTTTTACCTGCCACCTCTGGTCTTCCTCTGTGGGCCAGCACCATCCCCACAGCTTACCCCGAAAGGTGACAGAGGTGACACTCAGTTGAACAGGGTACTTTATTTTTGTCTTGAGAAGGCACCAGTGCTGGTAGACGTCTCATACTGCCAGAAACTGGTGGGAGGGAGGTACAAGTATAAAAGCCCACTTTACAGTATCCTACCCTTTCGTTTAAAAAGATAATTTAATCCATTTCCAGAAATGAGACCTGTCACCCGGAGAATCTAGTCTAGATAAATACCCACAGCGCTGCCTACGAGACCTACTGAATACAGCAGTGCAGGGAGGGCCGCTGAGGCCCACTGTGGCGCTGGGGACACGGCCCGGCCCGCCTGCCACTGCACCTGCCCGGCGCCCCGTACTATGTGACCGGACAGCCACTGGCCCCGACTGCCCCCTGGACGCTTGCAGAGCGAGTCACGGTGACGGGGGACCGGTTCACCAGCAGCTTCCTCATGCAGCCTCGGTAGGCAGGTAGCCCCGACTCTGCACCTGTGGTCTCTGGGTGCAGGAAGACAGGGTTGATGGTGGCAGCTTGGTGCCCCAGGTCCTTCCTGTGTACCAGTCACCCACCTAACCACCCTTCCCGAGAAGGTGGGATAGGAGCAGATGGGCCCAGCACCAAGCAGGCCCCCCACCTGGGCCACGGCCACTCACCAGGCAAGCCCCCGAGGTGCAGAGGTGCTGGGCCGCCAGCTGCAGCCGCCGCCGAGGGGCCCACAGTGCGGTTGCTCTGAGTGTCCACCTCCAGCCGAAGCCCGTTCCTGCCCTTCACGGCTGTGGGAGACTCTTGTGGGTGCCCCCAGCCCGGCCACGGTCCCTCAGGCAGGCTGCCCCTGGAGTCCCACCCCAGCTCCCACTTCCGGCCACGGGATGTGACGTACTCACCTGTCAGTCGGTGCCACTGCCCGTCACACAGTGCTACAGGGCGTGTCACCCACGTGGAAAATTCACCTGCGCCGTCATCGGCTCGCAGCAATACCTGAGGGAGAGGGCGGGTCAGACCTGGCACCCGAAGTCGCCAGAGCCAGGAGCCCCCTGCCCTGGTACCACGACCCTATTTACCTGCTTCTTGGACACCTGCAGCTGCAGGTAGGGGGTGCCCTGGGCCCGGCCTAGGTGGAAGATCAGCCCGCTGGCTGCCAAGGGCCGAACCTCCAGCTCCACGCTCACTTCGGGCAGTGTGGCGCCGGGGGGTTCTGTGGGGAGGAGCCCTGGTCAGAGTGGACAGTCCAGCCGAGGGCCAGAACCGCCCAAAGCCCCTGCCCTGCCCCCAGACCTAGAGTGACAACTCCTCCACCGCCTGCGAAGAACAGGCCACTCTCCAGGGGGCCTGAGATGCAGGGCGTGACCCCCACCATCCGCGTGGGGGTCCCCAAGGGCCGCCCGTCCAGCCGCAGTCTCTTCACGCAGCCACTGAACCCGGTGGCCACCTGTGGGGAATGAGGGCTGGAGCCAGGCAGGGCTCACTGAGCAGAGGGACAGTGGTCAGGCCAGGCCGAGGTTTAGGTTCTTACCGGTGGGCGGGAGCTGCGACTGCCAGCTGGGAGGCCCCCCACAAAGAGGGTATGGGGCTGAGGGGCTGCTGCACTTGGGCTGGACGGGCGGGGCCTTTCCCGGCTCCACGCTCGGACACCGTCTGTCAGGAGCTGGAGCTGACGCTCCTCCCAGCGCACAGAGAGCTGGGGTGGGGAGGAGGCAGGTCAGGAGGGGGCGCCCAGGGCCCTACCCATGTCCCATGCTCCGCCGCTCACCGTGTGCCACCTGCCAGCCCGTGAGCGCTGGCGGCTCTGGACGCGCAGGCGGGGCCCAGGCCCTTGTGTCTGTGCGACAAACCGTCCGTGGCTCAGGAAGACAGCCAGGGAGGCACTGCCGGCTGCCAGGGGGGCAGCAAACAACAGGAGGCCCTGGGGGGCGCGAGGACGGACCAGCATCGAGAGGTGGAACCTGGAAGCCAAGCACGGCATCAGTCTCGGTGGCCCCTCCAAACCCACCCCAGCCTGGCCAGGCCTTACCGGTCCCTGTGGGGGTCCAGGATGCCTGCAAATTCCAAGTAACTGGGAAGGGGACCCCCAAACTGGAAGGCGTCTTGAGTCACCCTGACGTGCAGAGGTGGCGCACACTCAGGGTTCTGCCTGGGCTGGCGGTTGCGGCGGGAGGCCTGGAGGGACAGGGACAGACGGGGCACCTGCCGCAAGCTGCTCTTTACCCACCTGGCCCTGCCCCCACACTCCCGTGTCTCACCTTCTGAGCCACAGCCCGCAGGCCGCGAGCGCCCGGGCCCGGGCTCCGGGAGAGTGGGGCCAGGGCACAGCCTGTGCTCACATTGACAGCCCCCAGGTTCTGCTGCAGGTCAAACACGCGCTGTGGGCCCTGGAGCCTGGAGGAGGGGAGGAGGGCAATCAGTGGTGGATGGGGCGCAGCAGGGACCTCAGCCAACGGCCATCACTCACCGCTGCACAAAGACATTGCTGATGCAGCCGCTGAAGTTGCGGAAGGAGGCGGCGGACTCGGACAGACCCCCCAGGAGGAGCTGGGGGGGCTCCTCAGGTGGGTGCTGCCTGGGAGGGGACGCCTGGTGTGGCTTCATCTGCTGCAGCTGGTCATCCACGTACAGCCAAACCCTGAAGGCAGGCGGAAGGGCAGTGTTCCCAGGCCTGCAGGGCCAGCCCAGCCCGCGGTGGAGACAGAGGGCCAACCAGGACGCGCGGTGAGGCCGGGTGGGCAGGGCTCACCCTGTGGTGTTGCTGTAGAAGGCCACATAGTGGGGGGCACCATCGCTGAAGACCCCTTGTGTCTTCAGCTCTGTCCTCATGAGCCGCAGTGTCACGTGGCCTTGCTGAAGGGACACCTGGCACAGCCCATCCTGGGCGCAGTGGCCAGGTCAGTGGGCGGGCCAAGCACCCAGAGTCTCCCCCCAGCCCTTTCTCCAGTCACTCAAGCCCCCAGACTGTCACCACAGCAGGCAGGGGGCGGGCAGCAGACCGCAGCGGGTAGGACCAGGCCCAGGCAGGGCTGTGGGTGGCAGGCAGTGTGGCCTCACCGGGGATGCGTGGTGGTAGAGCAGACCGTTGTTCTGGGTGCTGCGAAAGCCAATGCCGGAGTAGATGTTGCTGGTGAGGGGCGGCACATCAGGCAGCGCCAGCGGCAGGAAGCCATGGCCATAGAAAGTCATGGTGCGTCCCACCTGTGGAGAGGGAGCCTTGAGTGCCGAGCTCGCCGCGAGGACGGCGCACAGCTCCAGCGGCGGGAGGGCGGCTCACCAGCAGGTCTGCAGTGCAGCCAGAGCTGACGCCTGTGGTGTTCAGCCTCTTGAGGTCCACGTATTTGCCCAGAGCTTTGATCCCCTTGACGCAGCCACGGATGGAGCCCCCGGAGGGGAACAGTCGCTGCAGGCTGCAGAGGGTCAGGGTCATGTCTCCTGAGCCCCTGCGCCCGGCCACCCTGGGTGCCACCCTGCTGAGCACCCTGTCCTCACCTTGGGGGCAGCTGCTCAGGCGGCACACCCCCCAGGTAGTAGGCACTGGCCAAGTCCAGCGTGTTGTCCTGCTCCACGCTGAACACCGTGGTCCTCTCCACACGCACCAGCATGCGCTTGCGGCTGCCGGCCAGCAGGAACACCTGGATCTGAGGTACAGGTGGAGGGCTTCAGGCCACGCCGAGTCCTGGGAGCCTCCCTCACCCCCAGGCACCCAGACTCACCGCTTTGCTGGCTGTAGTCAGGGGTGGAGGTGGCTGCAGCGGAACGGCCTCCTTGAGACCCATGCCCAGGTCATATAGGAGCACGAGGTTGCCTCTGACCACTGCCAGGCACAGGAACTGGTTCTAGGGGAACAAGGTCGGGCCAGGGTTAGCACAGGCTAAGGCCGGGATGGGGGGCAGGTGGGGCAGGGCCGTGCCTGGTACTTCAGGAAGAAGATGATGCCGCTGTAGGACACGAGCCGCAGCTCCTGCTCAAAGCGCTTTGTGGTGCTGATCTGTCTCTCGAAGCTAATGTGGGCAAAGCCGGTGCCATCCAGGTAGGACCCATCCGTGAGCCATGGGTCCCCTGTTGACTTGGAGCTGCAGATTAGAGGGCTCAGGATTAGTGGGGAGTGGGTGAGGGGAGCAGGTAGGGGTAGGCTGTACGTACCGGGCACAAGGCCTGTCCACAGCCGTGTCTACCCGGAAGGTCCTCTCGAAGTTATAGAGACTGACCACCTCCTCGTTCAGTGTGTCCAATTCAATGCAGCCCCGGAAGCCGGGGAAGCGGAGGGGTGCAGGGGGCTGTGGGCACAGGGCACGGTCAGGGCGCCCCCAGCTACCCCACGAAGACCAGCAGGGAGCGGTGAGATGTGACACCACGAAGGGCCTTCCAGGACACAGCAGGGCTGGGCGAGGCTCACCGTGAAGCTGCTGGGGTACCCGCCCACGTAGAAGACAAAGTCGTCAGGCTGTAGGCTGAGCAGCCCCTCCATCCCAGGGGCCACGGTGTCCCCCTTAGTCTCCTGGACCACTGGCTCCTCCACGGTGATGGACATGTGGCCAAACTGGAGGGTCCTGGGGCAGAGGTGGAAGGTGCAGGGTGAGTGGGCATGACCCAGCAGGAGGGCACTGCCCCTGCCCGAAGGCTTTGTACCTGTCAATGCTGACGGTTGCAAACTGCTCCCCGATGTCCTCGTCGATGCTGAGGGCCACGGGGCCGGCATCTCCCAGCCTGTACACCCAGTGCACCTTCTGGTTCCTCAGAGCCACGCCCATGTAGTCCCCAGTGGCCTGCGGCGTTGACAAAGCACACTCAGGACAGGGAACAAGCAGCACGCACACCTGCGACCTGCTGGTCGGCTCACGCCACCCTCCCCCTGCCTGTACCTGGCGGCTGCCCATGTACAGCACAAAGCGGTCCCCGGCCTCCTGCCCGGGCTCTGGCAGCTCGGGGTTCTGCAGGTGGAACTTGAGGGCGGTGTAGGCAGCAAGGTCGGCCAGGTCCCGTGGGGTGCGCAGCTGCACCCCTGAGCGTCCATTGAACTTCATGGACACCTTGACCTGGGGATGCAGGCACGTCAGTGCTCACTGCCTGGTCTCTCAGACACCGCTGTCCCGACTCTACCCACCTTGCTGGCAGCGCCCCGGGCCTGCGCGATGAGCTCCCGCACGCGGCCGATGCTGGCGGACAGGGCCAGGCTGGCATTGTGTGTACTGCGGTTCTCCAGGAGGCTCAGTTTGGCCAGCAGCTGCGGCAGCGTCTTCTCCAGGGAGGACACTGCGGACGGGTGCAGGGCCGTGTGCCGAGAGTCCCACCCACCCCCTCCCCCAGGTCTGGGGCCTGCCGGCTCACCTGAGCGGCCTGCATCAAGCACCACCTGGCCCAGGTCCTGACCCCGCAGGCCCCCAAACTGGCCCTGCCACCGCTCCAGGTTCCTCTGCATGTCCCGAAGCTGGGACTGCACTCGAGCAGCCGTGTCCTGGGCTTCGGCAGCCACGGCCTTGGCGTGGGCAATCTTCTTGCTTGTCTCATCTGCAGCAGGCACAGGGCACACTTGGCACGGGCTGGAGCACTCTGGCTTTGTGTCCCTGAGCCCCCTCAAGGGTCACAATGGGAACTCATGCACCCCTGCAGCTCAGCATAGCCTAAAAGGACTTGGGCACCCACCTGACAGCCCTCCCTGAGGAAAACTGCCTGCCTGTGCCACCTCCCTTGCCCCTGGCTACACCAGCTCCCAGGCCTGCCCAGGTCTCTGAGGCTCCAGCCCAGACCTGCTCGGGACACTCAGCAGCCACAGGGACCCTCCAGAAGCTGGGCAGACCATGCTGCCTCGTGCTAAGTCCTCTCCAAGTGGCAGCCACGACCCTGTGGCTGAGGCCTCCGCCAGCCCCACCTCGGTGTCTGTGTTTGACCAGCTGTCCCCTCCCTGAGAGCTCAGTGCCTTGTGCTCCAGCCCAGCCCCCACACTGCACTTGGCCAGCAGCTGTACCGCGATAAGACAGGTGTGAACGTGTCCACTTGCGGAGCCACACTGCCAGCCAGCTAGAGTGCCACCTCAGGCCAAGGGGGTCCCCTCCCCATGGGGGAAAAAAGGACTGGCGGTGAGGGCAGGACAAGACTCCACATACCTGTGTCCATGGACAGCATGGCCTGCGCCTCCTGGATTCGGGCCATAAGCTGGTCCTTTGCAGCCTGGATATCCTGGAGCTGAGTCCTGGCATCCTGCAGCGTGACCCGCACTGCGGGGGAGGTAGGCTCAGCGGTGACGAGCCCCACCCAGGCCTCCTGACCCCGGGAGGCTGAGGCCCACCCATACAGTGGACAGAGATCGTGCTCTGGCCCGAGCTTTGGCACAATACCGAAGCGGGCAGGTAGCTTCTGGGGGCAAAGCCCTAGGGCAGGCACGAAGCAGAATTCACATAGAGGGCTGCCAGCGCTGTTCCCGCCCTGAAGCACAGCGCAACAACCCACAAACTCCACATAGATATGGTCCAGAGTCCACAGGTCCCTGAGGAGTCCCAGAACTCACTGAGGCCCAACCTCCGCTGCTGCCCGAGCACGGCCTCCTCCAGGGCACTGCTGTTGGCCAGCAGCTGCTGGGTTTGTGCCACCAGCCCCCGCTCCACCACAGCCTGCACACAGGGGGACAAGACGCACTGTGTGTCGCCCGGGCGGCACAGCGGCTCCTGCCACAGCCCTGGGCAGATCAGGGACTCACCTCCCACGTGCGGCTCGCCTGCTGCCAGGCTCGGCTCGCGGCTTCCTCGGCAGCCTGCATGGCCTTCAGGATGCTGCTGTAGGCGTTGGAGGCCTCCACAGCCCTCTGAATGAAACGGTCCTGGTTGATACCAAGGACGATGCTGCACAAAGCAGGGGGAAGATCAGAGATGTGCAGATGTGGGGGTCCAGGTATCCACGGCCTTGTGTGCTACCTGTGTGCCCTTCCTGCTGCTCTGGGCCCCAACTGCCTGTGGGCGGAGGAAGGCCTGGCTCCTGTGGGGATGACGGCTTCTCCCTCCAAGGAGCCCTTCCCGACCAGCTGCCCCATCCCGGCCTGACTAGACTGGGGCTGCACTGCCTGGGCCACACACCTGGACAGGTTGAGCGCCAGCTGGTCCAGCTGTTCTGCGTGGGCCTCAGCAGTCTCCACCAAGTCCACCTTGCTGCCGGCTGGGGAGAAGGTTCCTATCTTCTCCAGCAGTGGGGTCCGGGCCCCATCTAGGCTGGCAGCGAGGTGCTCCAGGTCCTGGAGGTGGGTTGGCTTAGTAGGACCCCCTCCCTCTCCCCTATGCCCTGTTTACTGCCTCTGGGACAGAGGGCTGCGGCACGCACATATGCCCAGGAGCCAACTGCAGCCTGCGGGCTGGGACGAAGCCGGGTAGAAGGGGCCTGACGGGATGTGCACTGCGCTCACCTGCTTGGCCCGCTCCATGCCCTGCAAAAGCTCAGAGACACGGGCCAGGGTGCGGTTGGCAGCTTCCAGAGCGGCCTTCAGGGTGGCATTGTCCTGGGACAGCTCCTGCTTCTGTTGCTGAAGGCAAGTGGAGGGGATGAGCACCAAGGGTGTGACTGGCAGAGCGGGCCATGGGGTAAGAAAGGGGACAGAGGGGAAGTGGAGGGCAGAGTCCCTCACCAGGGCTTCCTCCAGCCGCTCCTGGTTGCGGCTGTTGAGCTCCTCAGCCTCCCGAGTGGTGCCCACTGCCCGGTTCAGGGCCTCCCGCAGGTCCATGAGGCCAGCCTCGTGCTGAGCCAGCCGGTCGCGGATGCGTTTAGCCAGCACCTGGTTCTCCTCCCAGCGACTGGTCAGCTGCTCCTGCACACGGGCCAGCACTGGCCAAAGCCAGGGTGCAAGGGCAGTTACTCCAGCAGCCAGGTCCCTTTGTGACTCCTGGTCCCCACCTGGCCCCTAGAGCCCCACCCTGCCCTTGCAGCAGGTGGCTCCCGCTCCACACTGACCTTAGGCCCAACACATCCCCGCCTTCCCAACAGGGTGGCCACCACTCACGCCGCTGCGCCTCGGCCAGCTCAGTTTCTGCTGCTGCCTGGGGGGCCTGGAAGTCGCGGGCCCGCATCTCCTGCAGGAACTTCTCCACCTCTGCCAGGGTCCGGCGCAGCTGCTCACCCGATGGTGTTGAGGCGTTGGCTGGTAACACGTGGTCCACCTGGGATGCCAGCTCTGTGGGAAGGGGACCCGTCAGGGCTTGGGCCCCTGGGACGTTTTCAGCGGGCGCTAGCACGCAACCCGAGAGCACGGATGGCTCCAACTCTCGGCGGAGGGCCAGAGTTGCCCTCCTGCAGTGCCCATGCCCGCATGCTGACCAGGAGTTTCCCCCTGCAACTGTCTGACCAGTGCTTGCCTGGCCCACCTGGCCTCACGCCCTGTCCACATTAGCCCCTGGCCCACTTCAAATGCCCCACTGTGCACTCCGGAGGCGCCACCTCCCCACCCAAACATGCAGGTCTTGCTGGCTCTCAAGGCCAAGTTCACATGCAGACCCCCAGGGGTGTCCCTCACACCCAGGCAGCCCTCCCTGCACTGAAGCCTAAGCAGCAGCCAGGCTGGGTCAACCCTACCGCTCAGAGCATGGTGCACAGCCTGGACAGTCACTAACAGTGTCTGTGCCCGGTCCAGCATGCCCTCGGCACTGTCCAGCAGCCGGCCTGCCCGGTCTTGGGCCCCTGTGGCCTGTGGATGCAGAGTCCTTCAACCCACAGCTCTGCGGGTGGGGACCAGCTGCGGCTTGGGTGGAGGTGACGGGGAAGGGGTTGTTTCTAGGAGCTGGGCTGTCAGGGAGTGCGGGGAGGGCTTGAGGGTCTGGGGGAGGAGACTTCCAGGGAGAGGAGGTTCTCCCTGCAGAAGGGGCACCCCAGGGGAACTCCAGGTAGCGGGCTTTAGGGTCCTGCCTGGCTGCTCAGCCGCTGTACATCCTGCTCAAAGTCCAGGCTCTGCTGCTCCAGGGTCTGCAGCTGCTGCTCTGCCTGGTAGCGGGGGCCCAGTGGGCTCCGGAGCTGGCCCTATGGGAGGTGGAGGTGGAAGTGGGCACCTGCACTGCCTGTGGGGAGAGGCCTGCACTGAAGCAGCATCTGCACCCCTGGGGGGCAGGGGTGTGCAGTACCTGGAGGTCGGTGATGGAGGCATTCAGCCTATGTAGCTGGGCCCAGGCTGCAGAGCTGGCATTGACACCACGCAGCTGCTCGCGGATGGCAGGGAGGAGGGCACCGGCCTGCTCCAAGTCGTCCAGGAGCAAGACCACACAGTGGTCACACACTGAGGGCACCAAGGGGGTCAGCGAGGGGTCACAGGGTCAGTATAGTGGTCATGGGTCAACCAGAGGTCACGTAGTCAGCACAGCAGGCTAAGATCTTGGGTCACGGCAGTGTCAGGTCTGGGCAGGGGCTACAGTGCAGGCTGAGGGTCAGGGGTCAGTACAGGGCCAGGGAGTCACACGGAGTCACAAGACCAAGAGAGCTCGTGGGGTCGGCAGTGGAGCGCTGGAGTCGGCACAGACACTGCGCCTGAGCCAGGCTGAAGGGTCAGCAGGGACCTGGGCAGGCCCGGGAAGCTGGCCTCAGGACGCAGTGAACACGCTGCTGGGTGGGGCCCAGGGGCAGGCATGTGGCAGCAGACAGGGCTGGAGCCACAGCACTGACTTGGGGAGGGAAGGTGAGCATGAGGTCAGCGGGAGTCCTGGGGTCCCTAAGTACAGAGATGGGGTCCCCAGGGAAACAGCCACGGCACCCTGAAGAGCCGAGGTTGACGTGGGCCACCAGGTGAGTGCAGGGCTAGGACCCCACTGCTCCAAGGCAGTGCTGGAGGGGTGGAGTGAGACAGGAGAGGGACGCGGTACAGGCCGTACCTTCGCAGTGGACGCCCGGGCCCCTGGGGCTGCCTGGCACGGGCACCTGGTGTTGCTGGCTGCAGGCGTCACAGCGCTCCCCGCTGAGCCCTGGTGGGCAGGTGCAGCGGCCTGTGTGGGGGTCGCAGTGGCCTCTTGGACACTGGCACCCTGCGGGAGAGGGCAGGGTCAACACAGCCACGGTGTGGTGCCCACTGCCCGCCCAGGGACTGCCATACTCACGCCTGCAGCCCTGCTCCGGGCGCCCCCAGTGGCCAGGGGCACATTCATGACACTGGAGTCCCCCAGCTCCTGGCCGGCAGTGGCACTGCCCACTCTGGGGGTGGCACTCGGACCCCTCAGCAGCTGGTCCACAGGCGCAAGGGCGGCAGCCCTGACAGCCTTCAAAACCAAAGTGCCCCTCCTAGGGGCACAAGCCATGGTCAGGGCTCTGCCCAGCTCCGAGGACCCTGCTTCCTTCAGCCCCGAAGGCCCCGTGGATCCTGCAGCCCTACCTGGCAGTGGTCACAGCGACGCCCAGTCACGCCTGCCTTGCACAGGCAGCGGCCACTCTGGGGATCACAAGCTTCCGTGCCGCATGGGGAGCAGTCGCATGCTGCAGAAGAGGAGGCTGTGACCCGGCTGCCCGGCCCAGGACGTCCTTACGAACCCCTCCCCACACCCCACGCCCCTCCCTGCCACACCCACCGCTACCAGCTCCCTGGCCATCCCTGCCCACTGCCCTGAAGGGACACAGGTTGCCGGTGAGCGGGGGGTGGGGTAGGGCGAGGAGCGAGGGCTGTGCCCAGGGTGCCTACGGGTGCAGTTGCCGGGCAGCAGGGCGTTGCCGTAGAAGCCAGAGGCACAGCTCTCGCAGTGAGGGCCGGTGGTGTGGCGCAGGCAGCCACGACAGGCGCCTGTCAGGGGATCACAGTCGCTGAAGATCATGTTGGGGTCACTGTTGCCGCTGCAGTCACAGGGCTGGCATGAGCTGCCCAGCACCAGAGGGTTTCCAAAGAAGCCGGGTGCGCACCTGGGGTGGCAGTGAGGGGCAGTCAGCATCCTGAGCCCCACACAGGAGCACCCTGGGGTCTGCACTCCAGCCCCCTGCCTGGCTCACCGCTCGCAGGAGGCCCCGGCATAGCCAGGTTTGCAGAGGCACTGGGTGCGGCCGCCTCGCAGGATGCAGCCCTCCGCGAAGCTGTGAGACAGAGGTCACTAAGCGCCTGCACTCCCCGGCCCTGGGCCAGCCACCTGGTGCTGCAGACTGCAGACCCCATCCCAGCTGCTCCGGGTTTCCAAGACAGTGAGCAAAACAGTGCGGTTCCAGGAGGAAAGGGGGCCAGGCTGCTGGAGTCTGGGGTCTGGACAGGCTGGTGCAGCTTACTTGTTGGAAGGAACCGCCAGGGGGCAGGGGCAGCTGACACAGGGGGCCGAGGGGTCCTCAGGCCTGCTCCTCACAAAGCCAGCCCGGCAGCGCTCACAACGGTCCCCCTCCGTGTTGTGCTGGCACCCCTGGGGCAGAGTGGACAGTCAGTGCCAATGGTGGAGGCCCCATCTCACCCAACCCTGCCAGGGACTCCATGCCCCAAACCCTGGGCCTCAAGTGTATCTGAACCACAGCCGCAGAGGCCCGGAGGCCCCTGGCCGGCCTGCCTGTGCCTTCGGGGGCTGGCCCTTCCCCGTGCGTCCTACTTACCACACAGATACCGGAACCAGAGAGGCAGTGGTCTGAGTGGCCATGGCACTGACAGGGGACACATCGGCCCAGAAAGAGCCCTTTGATATCCCGGTAATAGCCAGGGGCACATTCCTGCAAAGCAAAGGGGTAACCGATGATCAGTAAAGCAGGCAGGGCTAGCCCGGGGCTGGGCAGACCAGGGCGCTGCTCCAGGTCAGACCTGGGAACTCTGCATTCACCAACAGGGACCAGCAGCTGCTGGGAGCACCGTGCCCGGAGCGCAAGACACCACACACAGGTACTGGGCAGAGGTGGGCCACAAGCACAACTCCCGGTCCTGGCCAGGTTATGCAGGCCAGGTGTCTGACTGCCACCCTCAGGCCCAAGGGCAGGGCTGCCAGGGCCGGGCACACACGGGCTCAGGGATGGCTGGGCCTCGGGGCTGGGACCAAGCCCCTCCATGTGGGCCACATCCTCTCCTTTATGTGGAGATGTCTCTCTCCAGGGGAGTTTGGCCACAAGCCTCCTTCGGTGGCGGAAGCCACTTACAACTGGATAAAACAGTAGGGGGAGGGATGAGTGAGGGGTGAATAGGTGACAGTTAGCTGGACATTAAGACAGATGGTGCATGAAGGCCGGATAGGCAAGCGCGGGCAGTGCATGCACAGCAGGGAGCCGGGTAACGGTGGAGCAGCTGACCACAAGCCAGCAAGCCGGGTGTCTGGGCAGTAGGCAGGAAGAGACGAACGGGGGACAGAGGTGGGGACAGCACCAAGAGTTCTTGTAGCAGGAGGGCATGCACAGGGAAAGAACAGTGTAGCCTCCCAGCCTGGCGCTTGCCCGACCTCACCTGGCATGAGTCCCCACGGTAATTGGCAGGACACATGCACAACTCCACGTTGCTGGCTGGAGGTCCCCTGCCCATCTCGCTGGCCACCTCCAGCACCACCCTATGCAAGGAGACAGCTGAGGAGATCTGCGAGAAGAGGGCTCGGATCTGCAGCTGCTCCAGGCCCGCCAGGACCATCATGAGTTCCTCCCGGGACACAGCGCTGTGGGTCTCCCTGTGCCGGAAGTTTCCCTGCAAGGCCAAGACCGGACCTCAGTGGGGCCACACCAAAGGCACCAGAAGCAGGAGAGCAGAACAGACCAGCACGTGGAGGCAGAGGCACATTCAGGTCACCCACACGCAAGACCAGCAGCCCGACCCCTACCTCACGCCACACACCAAAATCAGCTCCAGGTGTATTAAGAACTTAAACAGGCCTGTAATGCTAGTGCCCTACATTCAATCCTTAGTATCATAAAAATGAACTCTGCTAAAAAGACAAGATGACCAAGAAGTGAAAAGCAAAGCAGCAAAGAACGCCGAGGGGCAGCACACAGTGGAGAAAGGCAAATGGCCAGAGCAGCAGGGAGCTGCCCACCTGTCACAGTCAAGGATGTGTAAACCAGCACGGGGTAAGAGTGCCCAGAGAGGAAGGCCAGCCGCGAACCCCTCCCGCCCCTGCACTGGTTTCCCTCATGGACTGGGCACAGGGGCTGGGTCCTGCCCTGCTTGGCGGCCAGGCCAGCTCCACTCACCTCCACCAGCAGCAGCTGCCCTCGATGGGTATGGCCGGGCACAGGGTACGCTGACTCCAGGAATGTGATGCTCATCTGGTTGCCCTGGGAGACACAGGTGGGTGAGGGCTGGCAAGGGGCTGGGCTGTTGTCCCAGCTGGCACCACACCTGCACGCCTGCCACATGCACCCACTGTGCCACCTGCAGCACCACGTCCGGCCGGCTCTCAGTGGGGATGAAGACGTCTCCACGCTGGGTCTCAGAGTGCAGCTCATAGCGGAGGACCCCACCGTAGGACGACACCTGGCAGCAGAGCATGGGAGATGACACGCGGGACAGGGGTCAAAGTCTGGCGCAGCGGCCTCACCCCGCATCCTCACAGCATCTCCACCCCGGCGGGGCCTGGGCACCCTCGCCAGTTCCTTCTCCACCCCGCCAGCCTCACAGCTCCTGTCCCTGGACGTAACCTCATTGTCCCCTGCTAGGCCTCCAGCCGCCTCTGGAGTACCGCCCCGTCCCAACATCCGTCCGTCCGTGCTCACCCGGTCTCCAAGGTAGGAGGGCGGGGCTTGCCAGTACAGCTCAGGGACGGAGTCGGCCAAGTGCCGCAGGTCTGCGCGCAGCAGCTCCACCCCCGCCCGTCGCTCGTGGGGTACCACTTGCCGGTCAGTGCTCAGCAGCGTCCAGCCCTCCATGTCCACAAACTGCGGGGACACAGGAGGATCACACGGGGTGCTGCCCACGTCACGGCCTCATCCTGCGTTCTAGTCCCTGCTGCGGGGAGCCACGAGGGCCGCCCGAGGCAGCGCCTCCCTCCGTCCCGGCAGCCTGGCAGACTACCTCATGGCGCGCGTGGGCAGAGCTCCTGCAGCGCTCTGTGGCCCCGAAGCAGAAGCAGCGGGTGCAGCCCTTGGGGTTGGCAGCGTCGAGGGAGAAGGTCCCAAGGCGACACTGGTCACACCTCGGGCCCTGCACATTCTCCTAGGGGTGGGGGCAATGAGGGGTGGTTGGCTGTGTCCAGGGAGGCTGGCCCCTGGCTCACTGCCACCCACTTACCCCTAAAAGCTTCCGGGAAGCCCCACCCACCCTAAGGGCTGCGGAAGACATCTCAGCTGAGACCGAGCAGGGTCAGGGCCGGGTGCAGGCTCCCTCTCACCTTGCAGTAGCACTGGCCTGTGAGGGGGTTACACACGCCTGGCGCAGTGCCAGCCGCATGGCAGTCACAGGGGCGGCAGCTGGGGTAACCGTGGAAGCCTGGGGCACAGGTGTCACAGCGGCGTCCGGCCACGTTGGGTCTGCACCTGCCGGAGGACACAGGCTGGCTGAGTCCCCTTCCGCCCTGGGCCCCTGGCATTGCCAGACCCGTGGGGCCCCCACCTGGACAGTGTCTCCCAAGAACTGGGGAGCAGGGTGGGTTCCGGGCTCGCCTAGGAGCTTGAGAACTGCCCCGGGCGCTCACTTGCACTGGCCGCTGTCCACGTCACAGGTAGGCTCGGTGAGCTCCTGGACGCCGGGCCCCGAGCAGTTGCATTCCTCACAGCCAACCAGGGGGTGGCAGCCGAAGGTCTGGGGCTGGCACACCAGGCAGTCAGGGGGCACAGTGCGCGGCGGGCAGATACACTGGCCCGTGAGCTCGTCACACAGGCGGGCACCACAGTCGCAGGCTGTAGGGTGGACATTGCTGGCTGACCCTCGGCCCACTCAGGCTCCCCTGCAGGCCTCAGGCGGTGGTGGGAAGGCAGGGGCCTGGCCGGGCCCACCCCCACCCCACCCCCTGGGCCGAGCCCCTGGCAGGGAAACGCTGCCCAGAGCCAAGGCCCAGTGCCTGCGGCTGGGGGGCACCTGTGGGTCCCTGGAACCTTCTAGACAAATCTGCAGGGTGGGTATCCCTGGGCTACCAGCTGTCCTGAGGCTGCAGGACGCTTCCCTGGCCGCCATGCCCCTGACTCGGGAGCACCCCTCCACCAGGCAGTCCCCCTTGGGATCGAGTGCCCCGGGCACCAGTGCTCCCACAGCCACCGTACTCACGTCTGCAGCGGGGAAAACCCCAGTAGCCGGTGGCACAGCGGGAGCAGTCGCGGCCGATGACGTGGGCCCGGCAGGGACACTGGCCCCCGAAGGGCTCGCACGTGGGGCTGGTGGCACCCGCCTCGTGGCAGCCACAAGGCACGGCCCCGTTATTATAGAAGAGGGACAGCGAGACGGCAGCGTCCCGGCAGAACGGGGACGAGCTGCTGGGGCTACAAAGAGGGCCAGCTGGTGAGGCGAGCCCCGGGCCCAGCCAGCCCGCACCCCGGCCCTCGGAGCCCAGCCCACCTGATGTGGTAACCATGGGCAGCACAGTGGCTGATGAAGTCATAGGATTTGTCTAGGGGCTCCTCCCGGAGGTAGGTGGAGCTGTAGACATCCTCGGGCACAACGAGCACGTAGTCCTGGAGGACAGCACCTGGTCAGGTTCCCCGGCCGACAAGGGCCCGGTGTGGGGCCGTGTGGCCAGAGCCTGCGACAGGAATGGGAAGCGAGGGACGCCTCTCCCCACCGCCCAGGGGCCGGGTCCGCAGGCAGCCCAGCTCTGCTGGCAGTGGCAAGCCCACTGATCCTGGCAAGGAGGAAGGAGCCGGCCACAGCCACACAGCCTGGGGGCATCTGTGGGTCCAAGCGTGAAGGGGCAGCAGTGCCTGGGCCCACCTCTCCTCCTTTGCCTGGGCCCACCTTCTGCAGGAAGGCCACTCTGCCCAGCAGGGCCGGGGTGATGGACAGCATGGAGGCCTTGGAAGCCCCATGGCAGAGGCCACCCCACTCGGCACCCAGCACAGGGTGCAGCACAGGCAGGGGGCGCACCCAGAGACGCTCACTGGTGTGGCAGACGGCAAGCTGGTCCCTGAGTGGGGACATCAGCCCTGGGACTCACCAGCCAGAGCCACCGGCCCTCGGGCACACGCACGGTCACCGTGAGCTCACTGTCAGTCACATCCAGCACAGTCTGGCCCTCGCACAGCACCAGGGCGCGGCAGCCGTAGCCGTGTGGGCAGAAGCTGGCATTGGCGTGGCCTGGAGCAGGGAGGGGGCGAGGTCAGGGCGCCAGTGCCGAGCACCCCCTGTCCGGCCTGGGCCCGTGGCACTCTCGGGGACACCAGCAGGGCCTGGCGGAGGAGTGCTCACTGCGACACACACTGCAGGCACTGAGCTTGCGGCCCCCGAGACTGCGCAAGAGCACCCCTGGGTGCAGGTCCCTGGCGTGGCTGAGCCTCTGCATCAAATGCTCATTCACCGTGTGTGACGGAGACCCAAGCTGAGCACGCTAACGCAGCGGGCGGGTGTAGGGGACACACACAGGGATGAGACCTTCCCAGGGACAGAAGTGAGCTAGATGGAGGCTAAAGCCCACAGTGGCCCTGAGACACCTCGCCTGAGAACCGGCTGCAGGGCAAGGATGTGTCAGCCTGTCACCCTGGTGTACACGATCTGGCCACGTCACGGGTGACGGCCCCTCCCAGTCTCTCACCCTGCCAGACGCGGCCCCCGTTGATGAGCACCTCGACGGGGAAGGTGGGGTGGGCCGGCTGGTAGCCGTGCAGCAGGAAGGCATAGCGGCCCAGGGCGGGCACCTGGGTGGTGAAGACGACAGTGCCCTGCAGGGAGAAGTGCCAGTGAGTGCACAGAGCTGGAACAGCGGGGTCCCAATCCAGCCCCCAGTCAGTCACCTTGACCCCTGCCCTGTCCCGCTCCCCACCCCTCCAGAGACCGCGGCCCAGCTGGGCCCTCACCTGGGGGTGGCGCAGCAAGGTGGGCTCTGTGTCAGGGTCCACGGCAGTGGGGGGCCGAGGCTGGGGTCCGGCCGGGGCCGCACCCGGCGTGAGCTCCTGCGAGTGAGTCAGGGGGAGGCTGGGCGGCAGCGGCAGCACCTGGCAGTCCCTCAGGATGATGGGCTGCGGCGGCTTCGGGAAGCGGGAGGCTAGGCAGGAGGCACTGGGGGGGCACGGCGCATGAGTCCAGGCACCCTGGCTGGTGGGGCTCCACGGGCCTCCCCAGCCCCCGCCGCTTTGCTACCTGCTGGGCCCGAAGGTGCCATGGCTGCTCGTGCAGTGGACCCGGGGCTCCACAAACTCCGTGCTGAACTCCTCCACGGGCACCAGCGTGACGCTGTGCTGCGGGAGGAGACAGGACACTGCTGTGCCTCGGGCAGTGAGGAGGCGACACAGCCAGACCCAAACCCGGCACCAAGCGAGCTCAGTGCTGCTCTGGAGCACAGGTGCCGGCCCCGGACGCAGGACCAAGGGGCCACCCCGAGGCCGGCAGCCCACTCACACAGCCTCCATGGCCACCTCCCCGTCAGTGCCTCAGGCCGGAGAGGGGTCCAGCCTTTCACAGACCCTAGGCTGCTCCCTGCACAGGACCCGACGCTCTCCTTCCACAGTGCAGGAAGAAAATGTCCCAGGGGCCACTTGGCCTTACCAGGAAGAAGCGCGCCTGCTCCGCTGTGAGCCGGACACTGGCCTCCGAGTCCAGGTAGAAGGTGGCCGTGTGGTGCTGGGTATCCAGGACAGGGCCCCGACACAGGGTGCTGGCGGGCAGGGACGGTCAGGGCCTGGGCAGTCCTGGGCCGACCCCACACCCCCCAGCCTGCTCCTGGCCCACCTGTATGGGCAGGGATGCAGGGCGATCTCTCCCAGCTGGGGGGCCCGCTGGGGAGTGTGCACAGCTACGCCCACCTCCTGGCGGGCATCCTCGTTGGCATACTCCACCACCAGAGCATAGTGGCCTGGCCGTGGCGCGGTTACCTGGAGCTGGACGTCCACCTGTGGGAGAGCAGGGTGACCAGAAGCCCACAGCCTGTCCTCCCTACCTCTGTTTCCCAGGGACCACAGAGGAGCAGGGGGAAGGCCGGGTGACTACAGGTAAGGTCAAATTTGGGGACAGTGCCAGGCATCCCTGAGCTGGGTGAGGAACAGGCACGTGGGCCTGTCCTACACCTGTCCTCCCCGCCCCCGTGAGCCTCAGACACGCACGTCACTGCCCAGGCAGGCGGCCAGTGGTGGGTGTGAAGGACTGAGCTGCTCCATGGGGCAGGGCCGGGGCAGGCTGTTGTCATGGCGACACAGGGCCTCGGGCCCGCCAGCCGAGGGGAAGCCGTCCAGAGGAAGGTGGGCATAGAGGAGGCAGCTGGAAGGGACAGAGACAGGTCAGCACCAGTCCACCCAGCCACCCTGAGAGGCTGCCTGGGATGCAGCAGGGTGGGGTGGGAAGGTCATCCACACAGCCCCCGCCCCAGCCCCACTGGGTGGCCCCTCACTTCTCCCCAGACGGACGGGCGGAGGGTCGGTAGGTGCAGGCCTCAGTCACACGCAGCTGCAGAAGGGCTGCTTCGTAGTAGGCGCTGGGCAGCAGGACCACGTAGTCCTGGTGGAGGCAGGGAGTGGACACTGAGGCTTCCTGGCCCAAGGCCCGTGCCCAACCCCCACCTTGGCCCCCACCTCACCAGGAGCACCCCTTCGGCCTCCACAAGCAGGGCCCAGGTGCCAGGGTTCAGCACAAAGGGCTCCCCAATGCCCCTCTGGGGTACAGTGACGAAGGCAGGCTCGGTGCTGGGCGGGAAGGCCACGGGCTGGCTCTGCTCTGTGCCTGGGGAGGGGAGACTCCCGGGCTTGGCACCTGGGCTGCCCCAGGCTGCAGCTCCCCCGCAGTGTGGGAAGGCAGACTGAGCCCCCCCACCCCCTGGCAGACCCAGAGGAGCCGGCTGGGCTGGGAGGAGTGGGGAAGGCATGGTGGGGTGGGCACGCGGGGAAGGCCGGGCGAGACGGGCCAGCCTCCCACTCACAGTTGGTGCAGGTGGCAGACTTGCCGGCCTCACGCACGGAGACCTGGCCGCTCACGCTTGCGGGCCCACGGTTGACATAGCGGAAGACCAGCCGGAAGAGGTCAGGTGAGGTTACGTTCAGCCTGGCCACAATCCTGGGCTGCGGTAGACGTGGAACAATGGGGTCACCTCGCTTGGCCCTGGTCCCGTCAACCACGGCTGGCCCTACCTCCCACGTGAGTCTGGGACGGGGTGCCTCAGCCCACCTGGATGGGCGACATGTGTGCGTAGCCTCTCCAGCTGAAGTTCTCGAACTCCAGTGGGTTGAAGCCAAAGCGTACGGCGTGGCCCTCGGGCGTGGCTGCTTCCTCCAGCTCCAGGCGCAGGTGGTGCAGGTCAGGCAGGTAGTGGTCCTTCACGGGCCTGGCCACGGCACGGGTGTCAGTGGGGCAGGCATGGCTCTGTGGCTGCCCAGGCGCCCAGGGACAGCCGGGTGGCCCCACGTGGGTCCCGTGGAAAGGGGCACGGGGGAGCCTGGGATAAGCCGCCTCCCACTCCCTGGCCCGTTCCGTGAGGCACCCACTCGCTGCAGGTGGGACCCTGGGTGTTGGGGCGGCACCGGCAAGCGCCCGTCCGCGGGTCACAGCCCTGGCCCAGCGCACCGCCAACATCACAGCGGCAGCCTGTGGCAGAGGAAGGGGTCAGCGGTCAGGGCCCGCACAGCTCCTATCTGCTTCAGGGCTCCTCCCAGCTCCGGGCTCTGCTCCGCTCAGAGGCAGCTGCTCCTCTCCCACCCACTCTCACGGGGAGCAACAGGGCCGAAAAGCCAACTCTCCTCCAGCGAGAGAGGTCCTGGGGCCCTCTGGGACCCAGGCTGAGGGACCGGGCGCTGGGGTGGCCAGGGGTGTCCACCAGGGCTACGGCACAGAGCTATGAGGTGCAGCCAAGATCCACGCCCAGGCAGTGCCTGGGCTCCCATCCCAGCACAGGCCTGACCAGGGACGCCAGTCCATTCTCTGGGCCTCCTTGTGCTCAGGCCCGGCCGGCATCCGCAACCCACCTGTGCCCCCCGGGGTCTCCTTATCCATGACCCAGCCTGAGAGCAGGGATGGGCACTTACTGTGGCAGCCGAAGTAGTCGGCCTGGTCCAGCCCAAAGAAGCCGTCCTTGCATGCTGCACAGGTCTGGCCACACACGTGGGGCTTGCAGAAGCACTGGCCACTGCCCTGGGGCCGTGACAGAAAGTGGGACCGGGGAGGGGCGCCAACCCACCACCCCCAACAGCCAGAACTGCCACCCGCAAACTCACCGGCTGGCACTCAGAAACGCCACCCAGTGTGCCCCTGGGGTCACAGTCGCAGCCTACAGAGAGTAGAACAGGCCTGAGGGGTGCTGGGGACAGGAGACCGGACCCTGGCTCCCCACAAAAGCCAGTATCCCGCCCCAGGCACTCACGTGTGCAGCCCTCAGGGTTGCCGGGGCTAAGCCCCCAGAAGCCGGGCTTGCAGCGGTCACAGCTCGGCCCCTCCACGTGAGCCCGGCACACACAGGGGCCCTGTGCCTCAGAGAGGATGACGGCAGGTTACAGTGGGCCCTGCCTCCCCCACACACCCTCGGCCCTGGGGCCTGATAAAGGGCAGACCCCGCTCTGTGTCTGGCAGTCACCTGGAACCGGGGCAAAGGACCAGCAGGAAGAGCAGACAGGCGCGAGGTTGCCATGGCAGCCAAGCTGCAGGCAGGAAGCCAGGGCCTCACCGGGCCGGGACTTCTGTCCAAGGTGGCCCCCCCATCCCCACACCATGAGCAGACCTGGGCTCACCTCAGAAAGGGTAGGATTGGCCAGGGCCAGGCCAGCAGGGTGACAGGAGCCAGCTATGGAGAGATAAGCGAGCTGGTCATCCCTTGGTGACTAACCCCTGAAGGCCAGCGACTTCCCAGGCCTGACCCAAGCCCACGTCCCCTCAGAAGCCAGCACGCACGTCTCCTGCAGCTACGATTGAGGGGAAGAGAGAGGCAGGCACAGGGCCTCCCAACCACACAGCACACTCTGTGCACACACATGGAGGCACACTCAGCGCGTGGACCCGTGAGCACACACACGCACCGACCCACAAGTTACAAACACATGCACAAGGAAGAACCGCGTGAACACACGGGTGGACGTGCATCTCCCATGAGCACACCCACGGCACGCAGGTGCACTTCCAGAACAAGCCTGTGCACACACACACACACCCCGGGAGCCTGGGATGTGCGGACAGCACGTCACACCCAAGAGCAAGGCCTGCCCGCCTACCCCACCCTGCTCACCTTCGCAGTGGGGGAAGTTGTAGGCGCCAGGCACACATGCGTCGCACTGCAGCCCCGTCACACGGGGCCGGCAGCTGCACTGCCCTGTCCGGGGGTCACAAGCCGAGTGCAGGGAGCCGTCGGGGGAGCAGTGGCAGGCTGTGGGACAAGGGCAGGGGTGAGCTGGAGGCGGGGACTCCACCCGCCTCCTTCCTCCTCCCAGGCACTCACGGACACAGGTGGGGAAGCCGTGGAAGCCAAGGCTGCACTCCTGGCAGGTGGCACCCGCATAGCCGGGACGGCAACGGCACAAACCGCCTGCCCCGCAGAGCTGCTCCAGGGCTCCCCGGGGGTCGCAGGCGCAGGCTGTAGGGGCACAACGTGGTCAGGTCTGGGCCCGTGCAGGGCTTAGTCCCCGCCCCCCCCAGCCACCTCACCGTAGCAGTTGGGGTAACTGTGGTGGCCCGGGAGGCAGCGGTCACAATAGGGGCCATGAAACCCGGGTCGGCATGGGCAACGGCCAGCTTCATCGCAGCCTTCGGGCAGGGTCCCCGCGGGGCTGCATCCACACACTGCGGAGCAGATGTGTCACAGGGACCCCTGACCCGGGCAGGCTGCGCCCCGTGCCCCGTATCGCCCCATGCCCCGTATCGGAGATACCACTCACGCTGGCACAGTGGGAAATGGAAGTAGCCAGGGGCACAGCGATCACAGGCAGCCCCCTCAAAGCCAGTGCGACACCTGCATCGGCCGGAGTCGGGGTCGCAGAGGCCGTCGGCCACCCCAGGACCGGAGCACTGGCATGCTGCAGGGAAAGGCGGCTCACACTCAGGACAAGACAGGAATACTTGCGGGGCGTGGGGCCTGGGAACAGGGCTGCACTCACGCTGGCAGCTCGACCCGTAGAAGCCGGGGGCACAGAGCTCGCAGTGGGCACCCTGGAAGTTGGGCTTGCACACGCAGCGGCCAACACTCGGGTCCTTCCGGCAGGAGTTGCCCTGGGTCCCACTGGCGCTGCAGTCACAGTCTGGGCGGGAGGGGGAGGGGAGGCTTAGAGACCGCAGGCTGAGGCCTCCTCCACAGCCTTGTTCTCTTACATTCTTACTAAAAGAATAAAGACTCCCAGGAGCGGAAGGTGCGCTCTGGGAAAACAATCACGCCGTGGGGTCAGCACAGCCATAAACACGCAGGATTCGACGTTCATAATGCAAATCCAAGTTAACTACAGCCACGAACACAGGAAAACCATAAAAACAAAACCATAACAAGCTAAGCAGAAACTTCTTTTCTTTATAAACAACGCTGAGCGTTGGGAAGAAGGAAGAAAAAGCATGCTGACTATCCTAACTGCGTAGGAAAAGCGGGTCGCGAATATTCTGTGTTTGTGACTGAGAGAAATAACCGCTCAGTACCCAGTCCAGAGCCAGAACGTGCACACCCGCATGGGGAGCGCACGTCCTAATAGCAGCGGCAACGCGGCCCAACACCGAAACACGCTCTGTTGCTCAAAGGGGCAAAAGTCAGGAATGGAAAAAAAGTAAAAAAGATACAAGGGCAGGTACGGCCCAACTTGAGAGTGGCCAGGCTGCCTCCTTTCCTGTGATAAAACCCAAGGTTTTGGGTTGGCATGGAAGACCCAGTGGGAGCCTCCGGAGGCAGGAACACAGGCCCTGTAGTCACATTCAAGAGCCTCATCCTCACGCCCGGTACTGGGCCCTGCCTGCTTCCTGAGCCCGGGGTAAGCTATACTTTGAAAACGTCAATAACTTTGCAAATTGTGACTTGATCAGATCAAGAGAAAAGGGGAAAAAAAGAAAGTAACAGGGACGAAAGTAAATTGAAACATTATAACAGAATGCAGCAACAAACACTCAAATGAAACAAGCAGTTTGCTAAGAAAACATGAATAACCAGAAGATGAGAGAGAGATGAGGTAGAAAACTTTTAGATACAATAACCACAGGAGAAATTAACATTGTAACCTGAATAACAGGTGTCAGGACAAGATGTTTTAGAAGCTGTATCAAATTTTAATTTTTTTTGTTAGTGTTTAAGCAATGGCAGCTGGCTGTGCTGTCCAGGATGGCGCCAAACTCTCAGGCTCACCACCACCCTGCCTCCTGCTTCCTCCCCGCCCTCCTGGACAGCCGGAACCACAGGCACACACCACTGCACTTGGCTCTGACTTTTAACAAACAGATAATTCTTGTGACTTTTTTTTTTTTGTCTTTTTGAGACAGGGTCTCGCTATGCAGTTCAGGCTGGCCTTGAGCTCACTTTGTAGCCCAGGCTGGTCTCGAACTCGTAACAATCCTCCTGCCTCAGCCTCCCAAGAGCTGGGATTATAGGCATGCACCACCTCACCCGGCTCTTGTGACTTTTTAAACTGATCTGCAATGCAGAAAAATATGGATTATTTCCGAAGAACAAGGCAGCACACAAAAACACAACACCTTCAAGCCAGACTCATTTGTGAATGCAGACGCAAGAAAACATTTATGTTCTGCACTGGGTTCACGTGAGGAAAGACCTTAATGTAACTCATTGTACAATAAAGAAATTAAGAGCGGAAAACCTCACCACCAGAGGTAATTACTGAGCGCTTGCCAGGAGCCCGCAGGAGAGAACTTTCAATAGTTTACATTGGGGATCGGTAAACTACACGGCAAGGGCTCAGCCGCCTGCTTTGTAAATAGTTTTACTGGGGGCAACCCAGCCCCCCCATTCCAAGGCCATGCTATCAGAGGCCACGTGGGCCCCCAGCCCCCAAGTCTAAGACATTCGCTCACCTCCTGGCCCCTTGGCAAACTTTGCTGACCCTTGGTTTACACTGTTGATGAGACGTAAGAAAGAAAGCCACCCCAGAATCAGCAGCACAGCCAGTGCTTGGGTCCAAGTGCCCCCAAGTCCGAGAAACCAAGGACAGCACCAGTAGGGTCACCTAAAAGCTTGGGAATCTGGCATGAAAAAAAGCCCCTAAAAAATACAAAGGAAATGTCAGGTAGGGGGAAGAAAACCCACACAACTTGCAGAAATGGCTAACACGGTGACTAAGGGACAGCCCACACCAATAATGAGCAGAAAGGCAGATGCTGACGGCGAGGACTGTGGGCTGGTTCACACCAGAATCCATCCGAAAGGCCAGGATGACCGAACCTGACAAGCTGGCCAAGAGCCCGGACGCCACACGGGCCAACTTCAGGCCCATCCCCCGGAAAGCAGCAGACGGCGACAACTGTCACCTGAGATACCGAGAAGGGGACCTGGTCTCCGCACGGGGCAGAGGAGGCTCTGCCGGCCAAGCTGCCAGGACGCACCCCGCAGCTGCACCACATTCCATGCCGCCGCGCACAGACAAGCTGGTTCTGAGAGCATCTGGGCAGCCTGTGGCCAAGACCTGCACAACACACATCTGGAGAAGAGCACATCTGGAGACCAGCGCCACCTTCAAGGCTTCATGTGGTTTGAACCGCCAGGATGTTCACCATTAAAGGAGGAGGACAGCCGGGCGTGGCGGCGCACGCCTGTCATCCCAGCACTTGGGAGGCTGAGGTAGGCCAGCCTGGGCTACACAGTCAGATCCTGTCAGAAAAGAAGGCAGGCAGGAAAGAAAGACAGACAGAAAGAGGCAGACAGAAAGAAAGGAGGCGGGGGAAGGAGGGAGGCCAGGAGTGGGCAGGGGAGGAAGGAATGAAAAGACGAGAGAACCTAAATACCGAGCAGTCGGGGGCTGGCTAACAAGTGTTGCGTCTGCCTGCGTAAGGGCTGTGGAAGGCAGACATGGCGGCAGCACTTGCCAGGCCGTGCCCGCCGCTCAGCAGTTTGGAAGAGCAAAGTGGCCACAGGGCGCTCAGGCAGTATAGAGGGGTCACCAACACGTGGTGCCACGCCAAGCTATGTCTTGCTCTGACTTCATGCTTATTTATCTTTTTAAGGTTTTCCGTGCAACTCTGCCTCATTTGCATAGAAAACAACAGCTCAAAAAAGTAATTAAGATGACAATTCGCCCTTTCCGCCAGGCTTTAGGTATGCTCTGCTGGGGCCAGGGACACTTACGCACAATCTGCCCAGCTGGCAGCACCTGCTCCCTGGTGTCGTTGTGGGAGGGCGGCACGGCTACGGAGAGAGCACAGGTCAGCAGGTCTGTTCGGCACGCTCTGGGCCTGGCCTGGGTGCCCGGGGTCTCTTGCCCTGGGTCCCCCACCACTGCAGGGCTCCCAGGCTCCCCCCGGCCACCAGCCGAGCCTCACGGTAGCAGTGTGGGAAGCCCGAGAAGCCCTCGGCACACGCGTTGCACTGCTCGCCGGTGAAGTTGGGCCGGCAGTAGCAGCGGCCAGTCAGGTCCTCACACGTCCCATCGGTGAAGGCCGACTCACAGTTGCAGCCTGGCCGGGATTAGGATCAGGAATCTGTGAGCCCCCAAGCTCAGAACTAGCAGGCCCCAAGGAGCTGGCTCTAAGGTACTGCAGCCTCTGTCCCCCTCACCTGGGCAGTGGGGCTGAGAACCATGGCCAGGTCTCTTGGGGGCATGGAAGCCTGCTGCCCACCTGGGCCCCGGGCAGCCCTGAAGCTCAGGGCACCCCCTCTCAATGCAGGCCCCAAGATACCGCACCCCGGCCAAGCCCACTCACGGAGACAGGCGTGGGGGGAGTCCAGAGGGTGGTCCGGGGAGCGGTAGAAGCCCGACAGACAGCGCTCACAGTTGATGCCAGTGGTGTGATGCTGTGAAGGCAGGGCCGTGAGTCCAGGCCCCGCCCCACCCGCCTCGGTGCCAGCCCGCACCTCCCTCCTGCCGGCCCACCTGGCAGTTGATGCACACGCCCCCTCCCTGGTACACACTGTCCTGGTTCTGGCTGGCATTGCGCCTGTCCACCTCGGGGTCGTAGTAACAGTCATGGGCATGGCCATGGCAGTTACAGGCTGGAGAGGAGAGGACGCAGCTGTCAGCATGCCCTCTGGGACAGGTCCCATGAGCATGGTGCCAACAGCACGGCATGTGAGTGGGCACGGGGAGACTCACACTGGCATTCGTTGGCGCTGTCAGTGGTGGCCGGCTTCCATGGCTGCTGGTTGAAGCCGGGGCAGCAGCGGTCACAGGAGCCCCCACATGTGTTGTGCTGGCAGGCACACTGCAGCCTGTGGGTGACACACGGGCACCGAGGGGCTCAGACCTCCCAGAGAGGCACAGGGCTGGCTCTAGGGGCAGGTCCCCGGTGCCCCTTCTGGCCAAGTGGTCCCCCTCAGCTACTGCTGGTCTGCCAGGCAGGCACAGGTTCCTGTCCTTGGTTTCCTTAGCTGTCCCTGCTGGACCCACTGTCACCCACCCCATGGCTCTGCAGAGCTGCCCTCATTTCAGGGAATAGGCACAGGGTGAAGGGGAATGGGGTAGCAGCTAAGGAGGGCCTTGGTGGAGGGGGTGGGGACGGGTGTGCTGAGGCACTCGGTGGCCTGGAGCCTTGGCCATTCCCACCAGAAGGACCCAAGCCCAGGCTCCCTAAGCCAGGTCCTAGAGAAAAGGACATATCTGCTCCCCATGGCCTGATCTCATCTAGCAGGCAGTCCAGACACCCCGTGTGTCCAGGCAGCTCCCTAGGGCAAGCGGCCAAAACCCGTTTCCTCCTCCAGTATGAGGCAGACCCCAGGTCGGAGGGCGGGCCTTCTGCCTGCTGGTCCATTGGCAGGGGGACAGCTGGTCAGAGCTGAGGACAGGGTGGAGCCATCTACTGCTCAGGGACACCCGTGCCACAGCCCTGCACCCACACCTTGGGCCACTCTGCCAGGACGGAGCAGACGGAGCTCTGAGCTCCCAGCTGCTGAGCCACCCAGTTCCTGAGTAGGACCCTAGGAGCCAGCCTGCGTCTCAAACCACCCAACTGTAAACCTGCTAGCCACGGCATCCTCCGGGCCTCAGGGATCAATGCTGTTTCCCCTCAGAGGCCAGGAACATCTGGAAAGGCCATATCCTCAGAAGAGGAATTAGGAAACACACTGCTACCAGCGGAGGTGATCAACAAGTAGCCGTGCGTCCTGACCCCAAACCCCGAGGGTGGGAACCCCGGGGCCAACAGCTGGTGCTCATTTCTCAATTATCTTCATGGCCTAGGACCCCTAAACTAACACAAGGAGGTGATATGAAGTGGTGCTGTGGTGGCGATTCCCTGGTATTTGGTAAAAGCTCTGCAGAGCTACCCTATGAGGCCTCTCCCGTCTAGGCAACAGGGAGCATACAGAGAAGGCCCTGCGAAGGACAGCCTTGTAGACACAAAGGGGAAGGGCCTGCAGACATGACAGAGAGCAGCGCCAGAGCCCAGGAGCTCTGCGTAGTGGGGCGGTCTGGCAGGAGCTGTACCGGCATGTTTAAACTGCCTATAAACAAAGCCGTCCAAAACACGAGATGACACAATGCTACAAAAAAGCAGGTGTGGGGGCTGGGGGTGCAGCTCAGCAGCGAACACTGGTCTCACGTGCTTGAGGCCCTGGGTTCCATCCCGAGCAGCACAAAAAGCAAGGTGGAAAGATAGAAGGAAGGGAGGAAGGAGAAGCATAGGCAGATAGGAAAAGCACCAGACAGAACTTCCAGACGTAGAAAACACCATTATGAAATGAAAGACCCCATGGTCTTTCAGCGCCGCCAGATGGGCAGAACGCTGAGGAAGCTGCGAGGGGCCTGCGACAGAGGGACATAAGCTGTCCCTGCATCCCCAAGTCTAGTGGGAGTCCCAGGAGAGGAGGCAGAAGGGACAGAGGGAGAATCAGAGACAGAGAGGTCGTGGTCTCAATTAACGAAGACAGATTCACAGGGCTGAGTGGATCTGCAGAACAGAGGACAACGAGCTCTCAGAAAACCACCAAGAGGCACACACCCGGAGATGAACCACAGCGACAACAGACCCTCCCAAAGCAGCGAGAGGCCAAGGCTCTGAGGCCTCCCCCAAGGTGTGGGGAGATGCATTAGCCACCAGGAACTGCAGTTGGCCGCACAGACTCCCACAGCGGTGCCTGGGGCGCAGCCACTGCAGACCACGCCCGAGACGGTCACGGTGACCACCCAGGACAGGATGCACTGGGGAACAGGACAAATGTCCTGGGGAGGGGCTGGGGATTCAGCTCAGCGGCTCAGCGGCTCAGCGGCACAGTGCCTGCCTGGCAAGCGCAATGTCGTGAGTTCGATTCCCGGTACCAGAAAAAACCAAAACAACAACAACAGAAAAAAGAGTCCCGGGGAGCAGAGAACACAGATGAGTGCGTGACTGGCGGGCACTGGAGAGGGAATGACGTGCTGCTCCTGGGCAGGAACAGCACACAGCCAGGAGCCACTGGGCGTGGGCCAGGTGTCGCTCAGAGGCAGCACAGCAGCTCACTGTCAAGCAGGCCTGAGAAACAGTAGGGGCCACCAGGACAAGAAATGGAGAGAAACGCAAGGGCGCCTCGGGCAGAACCCGAACACAGGACCTCGATCTGAGGAGCAGAGGGCAGGCAGGCAGCCCAACAGTGGTCAGCGTGGCGGGAGTGAGGTGCATGAGGTCGGAGGCAGGGCCGGGGGTGCAGTGACAGTGGATGATGCCCTGCAGGGGCAGTGCAGGTAAAGGGGCCAGCTTGGACTGGGGACACACGCCCATCATCTCAGCTTTTGGACACTGAGGCAGAGAGATCACTGGGAGTCCAAGGTTAGCCTGAATGACATGGCAGGACTCTGTCTCAAAGCAAAAACAGAAGAGCCAGCGGGAGGCACGGAGCCTTTCCCCCGGGGGAGCGGCAGAGGGGACACTGGTTGGTCTGGGGACAGGAGTACACAGTGCAGGCCATGGTGACAGACTTCTGTTGGGGTCTGCGGTTCTGGGAGAGATGCCCAGCTTATACTGCCCCACACCCCCACAGGGTGGGCTGGGCTCAGGGCTCTCAGGAACACGGTGAGGGAGGGTGACGACGCCTCTCCTGGCAGGTGAGGGCAGGCCCCGGCCCTCCGGGCCCAGGATCCTCGGCTCCTCTGAGGCCCGTTGGGCTGTCTGGCTGGCTCCACGCCCAGCCATCTGGAGTTGCATTCCCACTGGGCACTTAATTTCCCAAGGCAACTGAGTGATGCCTGCAGTGGCACTGGCTAGGACTGGTTCCCAGGGTGTGTCCCCAGGGCCCAGGGCCCAGGGCTCCAGGGAAGCAGCCTGCTGGGTCCTGGGGTGACTGTGCTACCCCCCTTCAGAGCTGCCAGCCACTCCTGAGGGAGGCTTGGCTTTGGCCAGAGTAGGGCTGAGCTTCCGGCCTCAACTGCCTCATCCACACAGTGGGGCGTGCACGGAGCTGAGGAGCTCAGCAGAGGCCCCAGAGCAGGTCTTACACCCCAGTGCACCCGAGCGCAAGCAGCAGGGCCCAAAGGACTTCGAGGGGACAGAGGCAGTAAGGTGAGCCTGCCTGTGCCCTACTGGGCCATGGCAGCCCCTCACAGGCCCCAAGGGGGCCCGCTGGGCAGCCTCACCCAACACTGTTCCTGCCACGTCATTCTCCCATGCCCATGCTTGCTGTTTGCTGGCCGACTCCCCAGAACAGGTGTCCCGTGCCAGAGATGGGCCCCATGTCTGTTAGCTGCTGGAGGAAGGGACGAAGGAAAGGAAAACCTGATGCCCTGGGGCCACCCCAGGCAGAATGAGGACGAAGAGTCCAGGCCACGAGCCCAGGACCAGGCTCCAGCTGGCCATTTAGGTAAGGCCAGCCTGGGCACCAGAGCCGCCCAGGGATCGGCCTCAGGTACAAACCACTGGACAGCAGCTGGGCCCTGCCTCACCAGCGGGCTCTGAGTGGGTCCTGGAACCCATCACACTCCTGTGGATGGAGCCAGGGCAGAGTTGTGCAGTGTGCCCAGGAGGTCAGAGCCCTCGGCTGGGTGAGCACAGGATGCGCTTGGTGGGGTGCTGGCTGACCCCATCCTGGACCTGACCCCTGTCCTTGGTTGTGTCTATGTCAGGGGGAAAGGTCAGGAAGCTGAGGAAGGCACCCCCACAGTGACTGAGAGCTGCCTGGGCAAGCAGTGGGCACCTGGGCAAGCAGTGGGCACACATGTGTGCAGACTGGGCATTTTGGGTTTTTTGAGACAGGGTCTCACTAGGCTCAGCCTGGCCTTGAACCCAGGCTGGCCTCAAACTCATCACAATCTTCCTGCCTCAGCCTCCGGAGTGCTGGGATTACAGGTGTTCGTTACCACACCCAGCGCACGCCGGTTTGATGGCCTCCATCCCTGACTCCCCTCCACGTGTCCTCGGGCCGGGAGGAGAACCCCACTTCCGCTCTCTATGGAACAACCCTCCCTCAAGACAGGGCAACCTAAGCAGGCTCAGAGCCTGGCTCCTGTGACAGACGGCCAGAGGGCGTCTGGTACAGATCCTGCACGGGGCCAAGGAGTCACTGGAAGGAGGTCTCTTACGCCCGGGTCAGGCTGGAGGACAGCTGGGACTGGCAGGGAGCCCAGGTCTCACCTGAAAGGGTCCAAGGGGTCTTTAGCATCGCAGACATCCGCGTGGCCATGGCAGACACAGCGGCCGCCGATGCTGATGTCCTTGATGCTGTAGTAGTACTGCAATCCAGAGCCGTGAGCAGTGGTGCCACCTGACCACACCCCGCCCCCCACAGCCAGGCCTTCTCCCAGCAAGCTGGCTCCTCGTGGACCACCCCCCGGAGCCGCCTCGCACGCTCACCCGGCGGGTGACGGTGGGGTCCCGCAGCGCCTTGCCCATGAGGTGGCCCAGCAGGGTATTGGTGCGCAGGAAACGCAGCCGGATGTTGGTGGCTTTGGTGAAGTCCCGCAGCAGCGGGGAGTAGGAGAAGTTCATGGCTCCTGGACGTCCGTTCACCAAGGACACCACGATCTGTGGATGGCGTGTCAGGCCAGGCTGGGTGAGGCCACTGGCACCCCTCTGCCTCCACCACGCGCTGCTCCACCCCACCCCAGGGCCCACCTCGCCATTCTCCAGGGGCACTATGCGCGAGTACTCGGTGGTACAGATGGCATCATCGTCCCGTGTGATTCGCTCCAGCGTCTGTGGCCCAAACCGCTCCAGGCAATCCCTCTTGGAGGCTGTGAAAATAAACTGGAGGATGAGGGCAGGGGCCACGGACACCTCAAAGACCCCGGCCCCCAAAGCAGTGCCTCTGCTCCCCTTGACCTCGCCAAAGTGGTAGCAGAGTCCTCTGATGGGCCATCCCCCCCCACAGTACTGGCCCCAGGATTTGTTAGCCAAAGAGCAGAATTCTGGCAGATGGTGGTGCCCTGGCCCCTGCCACGCTCAGGGAGGCTGGACTGGCACAAGCTGCGCTAGCCCACTCAGAGTATCACCCGTCCCCAGAACACACTAGAAAGTAAGTGGCCCTCTTCAATGACCACCCTCATCCCCTCCCTGGGGACAATCCCAGCAGCCCATTAGAGAGCCGGCCCTCCTTCAGTCTTGGGAACATGTGACTAGGCCTGTCCGATAGCAGAAACCCTCTCCTGCCAACACAGCCAATCCAGGTGGCCCGAGGCCAGGGTCAGCCAGTGACTCCAACGCCCCCTAACAGAGGCAACTAAGCTGGCAGGAAGTGAGCCCAGAGCTGCCAGGGCCACTCTATCACTAGGGAAGCAGCCCAACTATGCTGCCACTCCAGAGGAGCCAAGAGATGGTTCTGAGCTTCCAGGCACCACCAGCACCTGTACCAGTCATGCCTGGAGGGTTGGGGGCATGAGCCAACACACTCTCACTTGCCTTCGGGAGGCTGGCACCGACAGTCCTGCCCACAGAGCCAGGCATGAGCACAAGGCTCAGCACCCAGGGACCTTGAGAAAGTGTGGCAATGGCAGTTATGTCCCAGGCCCCACAGCTACCGGACACTCACAGGCGAAGAACTGCCACGGTTGGTAGGTGTGGCCGAAATCTGTGGAGCGTTCCAGCACCCAGAGGTCCGGCCGAGGGGAGTTGGCAAACTTGATGAGCACGTAGGCCACATGGAAGACCTGTGGGTGGGGCAGCAAGGGCTCAGGGCGCTGGGACCTTTGCGCGCTGCTGGGCCCAGCCTGCCCCACAGGTGTGAGGCCATGGCAGTGGGTGCAGTGGGCCCTTCCACGGTCTGAGAAACGCTGGAGAAGGCCAACTGGGCCCACAGGACAGGGCCTGCGCTGGGGACAATGGAGGACAGTGGTACCCCTTGATTCTGGAAGTGGTTTGGCCCAGGTCTAGATCCCCAGCCTCCTCCCCAAAGAGCTCAGGGGCCACCCTGGCCCCTCAGGCTCCGTAGCTGCAGGTGGGGCCTGGTGGAGGTGGGTGGGGCATACTGGGGAAGCAGCCTGTCCAGGCAGTGCCCAGGGCAGACACAGAAGCACAACCCAAGGTCCCCAAAGCCCTGATGTCCATCCAGGACAGAGGATCAGACCCTAAATGCCCCAGCTCCTAGCACACCAGACAGGTGATTGCTCCTCCTGCCACAGATCCTGTCCCAGCCTCACCCCGGCCACCTGCTCCAGGGCCTTCTCTGCTGACCTGTCCACGGAGGCCCCAGGAGCACAGCAGCACAGAGGAAGCTGGGGCCCAGCCCTACCATTAGAAGATCTGTTGGGGGACACAGACTGGAAAACTGGCCCTCCCAGAACTCAGTCTGGCAGACTGGAGCAGGGGGACCCAACCAGTCAGGAGCTGGGCTGTAGCTCAGACACGGCCTGGATGGTCGGGGGCAGGCCCCAGCCCAGGGTAGAGGAAGCTGCTCTCCCTGGGGCCCCAGAACCCTAAAGCCTCTGCCCAGACAGCCTTGACCTGCTTTCTCCTGGTGTGGGCCCAACCTTGACCCGAGGAAGGGCCACAGCTTTCTTTCTCATCTTCCTGGCCAGGGGCAGCAACCTGGGACAGCGCCACATACCTGCCCCGAGGGCTTGGCGAGCCCCACTGAAGCTCCCCACCCGGCCCAGCCTCACAGAGCAGGCACTCTGGACGCCTCCGGAGGGAAGCACTCCCTGACTAGCGCCCATCCGCCCACACCTGGCCCCGGACGTCCCCAGGACAGAAGGCCCTCCGCAGCCCTGTCCTCTCAGGCCCACTCCTGCTGTAGTCCCTCCTCTGCCTCAGCCTTCTCTTCCCCACCACAATCGCCTCCCCTGCCATCCACAGTGACCACCTGTGGGCTCCCCTGTCTGAGGGTTGAGAACCCCCCGGGAGGCAGCAGACACCCCATGAAGAGGCGGCTTCCCGGTGGAGACCTGGCCAGGCTCACCCTCACCCACCACAGGACTGAGCTCCAGGCGAGGGGTCTGCCCCCGCGGGGCTGAGGGTACCCGAGAGGCAGCCCCTAGCCCACATTCGCAGGACCAGGAACTGTGGCTCCCACACCTTCCTCTGAGGGCAGGTGCTCAGCGCCACAAAGCAAAAGGAATGACCCGGGGGACAGGGCCACTGTGCAGGACGGCTTTGCTGGTGCGTGTCATGGCACCAAGGAGTCCCAGCCGCGTGGGCAGGGCCTGCTCTGACCAACGCAGGAGACAGATGAGTCTTGGCAACCGCTACTCCAGAGGATTTTCTGCCCCAGGAGGTGCCAGCTGGCGATACTGTCGGCCAGGCCAGCCCCACAGCCCAGGACCCCAGGAATCTTGCACAAGGCTTACACGGACCCCTACCTCAGCCCAAGGAGCCGGAAGCTACTTGGTAGCCCATGTGGGACCATGCACCCTGGGCAGCTCCAGCCCTGGTAAGTACAGATGCCAAGTGCAGGCGGGGCAAGACCCTAGGACCCCAAGACAGGATCTGGGTGCTGTCATGGTGGGAAGGCCAGGCGGGGCGGGGATGCAGGTCCAAGCCAAGCTCAGCCTCCCCCAGTGGGGGTACAGGCCTATTCAGCGGCTGCCAGGCTCTGAGGTCATCTTCCCATCCCCGCCTAGTTGGGGAGGATTCCAGTCCTGGAAGGATCCCACATGCAGGCCCACAGCCCATCCTGCACCCTGCTGGGGTTAGGGGGCTGGGATGGCAGGCAGGGCTGGGTCTGTGTGAGGAGGGCCAGGAGTGTGGGACTCAGGCTTGTCAGACACGGACCCTGGCTGCTTGGGCATTGCTGGCAGCCCAGCCTCCCAGAAAGGGCTCTGAGGAGATTAAACGTCCCAGCTGAGCCTCTGGGACCCACCCCCGCCTTTCCCTGAGCAGGAGCCCCAGGCTGCACCCTTGCTGGTCACTCTGCCCTTCCCTGGCCGGCTGGCCCTGCATTTTTCCCAGCTGAGAGCACTTTCACAAATACTGACTCCGAGAAGCTGACGGGCAGGATAACAGGGATGGAAACTCCTCCCGTGGGGGACATTCGGCGACCGGGACCTTCCGCTCACTGTCCACCCGAGCCTGCCTGTCAGACAAGGCCCTGAACAGCTGGACTCGAAGGCCTGACAGCTGCACAGACGCCTAAGCACTCCACTCGGTCCCCAGCCCGGTCCCTGCTCCCAGTGCCGCCACCGGCCCCTGGCGTGACCGGGAAAGGCCCAGACCCCCGGCCTCCTGGACAGAGCCCGTCCCTCCTCGCCCTGTTCCACTCCGCTGCCAACTCCAGCTGACCTTTCCGCTGCTACATAGCTCTGTGTAGAAGGGAAAAAAATGTCTTTTAAAGTAAAAGCCAAACAAAAGCCGCTGGTTATTTTTAAAAATCTGGCTATTTTGGGGTAGGCACTTCTCCAGGCCAGCAGCCACTGCGCCCCCTGCCCCCGCCCTGCCTGACTTCAGAGGCCCAAGGCTCCAGAAGGAGGGGCTCTGCCCCTGAGGTCCTCACCCTACGGGGCCGGTGAGAGCCCCAGGGTCACAGGGGCCAGCGCCAGGGCAGGGGTCCGGGGCAGGCTGCGGGTTTCAGGGGCTGTAGGTCCTGGGGAAGCCACCTCCCCTCCCTGGGCACAGAGCAGCGGGAAGAGGCAGGGAGGACAAGGGTCAGAGGAGGGGGCTCTCACAGTGGTACAAAGGTTCACAGCGCCCCCGAGGGGGTAACTCCCATCCCCGGGGAAGGTGAGAGGTCAGCAGCACCTGGCAGAGACACACAGAGGAGCCCTGGGCCACACCGTCCACTCCAGTGCTGTGAAGACCAAAGGGGGGGCAGGTGCCAGGCTAGGTTAGAAGTCACACACTAGGAGAGGGGGCCCGGAGGACATGGGGGACAGAGCGTGGACCTGAGGGCCAGCAGCCTCCAGGGCTCAGACACCGCCTCACAAAGGGGTAGACTGAGGCTGGAACGCTGGGAGAGGGAGCAGGGCTCCACCCCGTGCCCAGTGCCCAGCTCTGCCGGGACCATCTGGAGGCTGGGGAGACGAGGCAGGGCACAAGTGCCAGCCGCAGGGCACATCCTGGGGGTGAAGGGGCCCGGCCCCACCCACCAGAGACGTGACTCAGCAAGCAGTCTGTGACTCAGGCGGGTCCGCAGGAAGAACGCCTTGTGCCAGGATGCAGGCTAGCGTCCCAGGGTGGAGGCAGGAAGCCCCTCCGCGCCCCAGGGGTCTGGGTGAGCGCCCTGCCTGCGGCCCTCAGATCCGCTCCAGGGCACCTGGACCTCTCCACTGCACGTCCATCCTCTCAGATGTCCAGGCCGGCCCTGGAGGCTCTGGGTCCCCTTGATCCACCCCACCCCTTTCCTCCCTCCTCAGCAGTGACCCCATGGAGAACTGATAACACTGCAGGGGGTGAGGGAGGCCAGGTGAGGGTGGGGTGCCCACTCAGGCCGCCAACCGGGTAAATAAATAAGCACAGCCATCTATCTCCACAGCCAGTCCGGAAGCTGGAAAACAGGCCCCATGTGGACCCTATCCCAGGCGATGGGGGAGCGGAAAAGCTGAGGTGTCCCCCAGTGAGCCTGCCACCGAGGAAAAACAAAAACATGGAATCTGCTGCGGGCAGAAGACCCAGGAGCCCTAACTCTGCTGGGGGGTCCAGCTCACAGGTGTCCAGAGCAGGGTGGGAGGCTGGGCAGGGACAGGAGCTCAGCTGCTGCGGGAAGCATGCGGGGGTCCCTGCACCACAACAAAGCTGGACGCAGAGTGGACTCAGTGACCCCAGCCCAGCCCAGCTCCCTGCCCCTCCTCCCCGTAACCCAGCCACATCAGGCCAGATGGTCAGCCTAGGGCCACAGGAAGTGGAGTTTATCTCAAGGGGACCCTGCGGTCGAAACCCAAACAGTTTAGTCTGTCCTGAGTGGTTCGGTGGGAGGCCCTGCAAGGGGGGCTGTTTGATAACAGAAGACAGCAAGCCTCTTGGCTGCCAGGGCTCGGGTCCAGGTGGGGTGATGGGGCATCTTGGTGTGCAGAGCGAGCCAGGCACCCCTGCATCGGTGACCAGGGTGGCAGCATCAAGAGAAGCAGGCTGGGAAAGAGGGCCCTCAGCCCCAGGCACTGGCAGCCCCTCAGGCCAACACTTCCTTTGGCCATGGAACAACTGGGGGGAGGGGAGAGGCAGCAGGAGGGGACTGCCACCTCCCTGTGTAGGGAGGGGCTGCCCAGGTATGCCACCAGGACACCTTACTCCATCCCCCCCGGGAGCCCAGCAGGCAGGGGTGGACCTGTCCCCGCTCTGCACCTGTCCTGGCCACGGCTGTAACCGAAGCCGGGTCACGGCTGCACTTCCCGTCACTTCCCTAGACAACCCCGCTGACCATCTCCGGGCACTGGCCACATGGCTGAGTGCCCAGCCAGGCCCAGGAAGCCATGCCATTGGCCCCAGCCATATAACCACCGAGCCAACAGCAGCCAGGCCCAGAGGCCTCCCAGAATGCCCTGCGCTGGCCAGCCTGGAGTGGGCAGGACAGCACAGGCCTGCAGGGCCGGCAGGCAGTGCCCACCAAGCCCCAGGCTGCATTCTTCCTTCCTGGAGGAGAAAACTGAGCCGAGGACGTGTGGCATCCAGCGGGCCCTGCTGCGGCTTCCGGACAGCCAGCCTGGTGTCTCCTTCGGACACCAGCGCTGGGATCTGCTCCCTCCACACTGGCGCGACCTTCTTACAAACCTCTGCCTCAGTTACCCCAAGTGCCCGGGGAGGACTCTCACCATCCAGGGGCCAGTGGCTTCACCGAGGCTGTGCCTCCCCAGCACTGCATCTGCTGGGGTGATCCGCCTCCTCCTGCCCATGGCTGCCCCTGTCCTGGGGGCACAGCCCCGCTCACCCTGGCCCTTCTAGCCCGCAGCAGCCCAGCCCCCACCCCAGGGCCAGCCCCGTGTCTCTGCTGCGCTGACCGCTCTTTCCCTGCCCCGGCTCCTCCCGTCTTACAGCTCTGGGACTCTGGGGCTGGGACAAAGCCACCGCTTCACCTGAGCCACCTGCATGCAAGAGAGAACAAAGCCAGGGGCCTCCCCGCCAGGAAGGGGACGACATGCCTTCCACTCCTCACCCAGCCCAACCTGGGGAGGGGACCGACTCGAGCAGGGAAGGAGGGGCTGCGGGGAGAGTCTCTGCGTGGCTGGGCTGCCTGGCGGCGCTGCGAAAGGCAGGGGGCACAGGCAGAGCCAGGCCAACTCACCTGCCTGCACCCGCAGACCTAGGCCTACTGCACCAGGATGCCAGGGTGAGGCCGGGCCCAGGGTGGGGTGCTCCAGTCCAGACCCAGCACGGGTCTGAGCACGGCATCTGGAGCACACTTGTTTCCTGGGCCAGGGTCTGCGTGAGGCTCTGGAGGGGAAACCAACAACAATCTGACCACTCAGCCGCGAAAGCTTCCCGAGGACCCAAGGAGATATGTAAGAACCTCCTTCCGACCCCTGAACAGGTCAGGAGGGGCGCAGGAAACGGCTCCCTGAGTCACCAGTCACTGGCAGGGAGCCTCTTCCTACGGCCCCTCCCCTGCAGAAAGAACCCTGAAGGCGCCGGCCCAGGCCCTCCCCAGTGTCCTGTCCAGGGGCCTAGCTACCGCCAGTTGAGCCCGCAGGGAAGCCACAGGCTGGGCGCCCACCACCCATGCATGAAACTAGAGCAGCAGGCAGCCCAGCCCACCGTCCCCAGGCCTGCTGCCCTCACAGGAAGCCCTCTGCGCCATGCCAGCCACCCCCACTGCCTTCCTAGGGCGTCCGCTCCACTTCCAGAACAAAGGCAGCTGGCCCAGCCCAGGCGAGCTTCCTGATGAGCCCCAGCCCCAGCCCAGGCCAGCGCCTCAGCACAGAACCCAGGAAGACAGAGCTGGAAGCGCCTTCACCCGCCCCATCAGCTGGGTTCACCGGGGGCGGCCCCTTGGCCGGGAGAGACAGGGGTCTCCGTGGATGCCTCTATGCACAGTAAAGGGTGAATGGAGGAGGGAAGAAGAGGGGGGGCCTCCTTCCCAACCTGTCATTTTACAGTTGGTGAAACTGAGGCTTGCAGTAACAGGACATCTGCATAGTGAAACTCCCTCCTGACTTGGAATAATCTAAAGACAGACCTCTCCGAGCCTGATTTATAGATTGGAGACTGAAGATTTACACCTAGAGGTTCCCCCTGCAGCCTCGAGCACCCCACAGGTGGGACTCCTGGAGGCCACTGCATTATGGGTGTCAGAGCTGCCCCGCCGGTAGGACGCTGCGGAGAGGGGAAGAGGGGCGTGGCCTGGAAGGGGCAGCTCCTCCCTGGCTCCTCCCCTCCCTCTGCTGCCAAGATGCCGCAGAGCAGCCCTCCTCTGCCCTAGGCCTTCCACCACACTGCCGAACACGCAGGGACTGGAACTTCTAAATCACACGAGCCCAGGTCCTGGCCTGCTCTGCCGTGCAGAGGGTCTCTGCGCCTTCCTGAGCCTGTGTCCTCACTGCAACCCAAGGAGGTGGAGGGGCGGTGCGGACCTCTCCCAAGCCTGGCAAGGACAGGCCCCAAGGGCAGGTCCCCTCTGTCCCCGGCTGGAAGCCTGCAGGTGCTGGGTACTTTGTCCCAGCTATGAGGTAAGTGCCTCCGAAAGAGAGGCCCAGAGAGGGTCCAGGACCAGGAGCGGCAGAATGGTTGCCGTCAGCCCCACCCACACTACCTGCATGTTGTCACCTGCTCTGCAGCCACCCTGTGGCTGCCGTGGAAACCAGGTCCTTACCCCTCTACGTATGGATCCTCCTCCCATGTCCCTGCTGCTGTGCCAGAGATGAGGGTGCCCTAGGGTCCCCTAGGTGCTCCAGAGTCCTGATGGTGTGAACCAGTGAGATCACCTAGTAGTCCAGCCCCACCCAGACCCGGGCCAGGACAGGCAGGGCCGGACAGCCTGTGTGCAGCCCCTCTCCAGCCTCGCCCACTGCAGCACACAGCACAGCAGCAACCTGGAAACCCTGGGCCACCTGCTAGGACTCGACCCCTCTGCTGGCCGCCAATCCCACTGGGCCAGGCGGCAGGCGGCAGGCGGCCAGCTGGGGACACAGGGGACCTGACCTGGGGCCTGTCCTTCTAGCCAGGCTTGTGAGAAGCCTCCTGCACCGCCCCTCCACCACCTCGACTTGCAGCGGAGACACAGGCTCAGAAAGGGACAGAGACCCTCTGCACAGCACAACACAGCAGGCCAGGACCCGGGCTCTGGGCTCAAGGGTAGGGGCTAGCAAGGCAGGCCTGGGGCTGTACGACTGATGCCAGGCCCAGTCTCATGTACCTCCCTCTCCCAACCTTGGCCCAGGGGACCACAGGACTGCTGGCCCATTTAACAGGCTAGGAGCCCAAGGCCGAGTATCTGGGGAAGGTTTCGAGGAGCGGGGCACAGCTGTGTGAATGGAGCACAGCCCGGGAGTGAAATCAGGACCCCAGGTCCTGTTCACCTTGGGAGGCTTGCTCATCACTGGAAAAGGCCTGATCCCCAACGTCTGCGCAGGAGCCCCAGAGCCAAGCACGATGGCCTGGAGCTGGCGGCCTGAGCGCGCACCTAGCCCCTAACCATGAGACCAACCCAGAAACACAGGTATCCCAGGAATGCCCACTTCCACCAGGCCTGCTCTACATTCCTGCAGCCCCTCCCACACCAGCCAGGAATTCCTGAGAGTAAACACAGGGCGCCCAGCAGGGCTCCCCGCTTCCTGCTGAGCAATCAGCACCCCTCCCCTCCCCCGCCTCCACACTGGAGGAAGAGGGACCCCTACCTGGCCCAGGTCCAGAGTGACGTTGACCTCATTGTATTCCAGGCCCCGAGACAGAGGTGGGCTCTGCCACCAGCGCTCCGTGCCATCTATGGCGTGGCTCGCAGGGTGCGCCTTATTGCTGCTGGAGGCAGTGCAGATGTCGCAGTACTGGCCCTGCGGGGAGAAGGGTAAGGTCAGAAGGGGACTAAGGAAGGGGATGCCTGCCCCTCTAGGGTCACCCTCCCACCAGGCCCCGAGCCCTAAGTCTGTCCCTTCAGGCTGGCCTCCACCTCCAACTTCACCCTTACACGTGCTGGGGCCTACTGCTTCTGGATTCACGAGACACGGCTCACATGAGACTGGCCTTGTGCCTGGAAGGATGACTTGGGTTTTTTTGGGTTTTTTTGGTTTTTTGGTTTTTTTCCGGTATAGGGAATTGAACTCACGACCTTGCGCTTGCCAGGCAGGCGCTGTGCCGCTCAGCTAAATCCCCAGCCCCCTGGTAGGATCACTTGGGAGAAAGAGAGGAATCTGATTTATGCGGGAAAATGAAGCCCAGCCTCTTTAAGGAAGTGGTGTGACCTTTAGGGTAAGGGGAATTATGCTTCAGGAAGAGCCTCTGCCGGTGCAAAGGCCCTGTGGCAATGCAGCTAGAGCCACAGGGGCCCCCGGAAAGGCTCGCACAAGATGGTGTAAGATGGGAGACAGAAAGAATGAAGAAGGTAGAGCTACAGATGGAAAGATAGTCTGGAAGGGAGGGATCCTGATGTCCTCCCTACCCCCACCACACCCCCCCAGGCTGTTCCCCAGAGCCCTCCGGATTAGGGTCTCTCTCCAGAGAAACAGAATTAAGCTGTAGGGCAGCCTTCGGGGACAGAGGACAGGCCTGGAGAACACGTATGTGTGGGCGTGGCAGGTGAGGTCTGGGCTTCCTGACTGCCCACTTCCCAGTCCTGATTCCAAACCCTGGGACGGGGCCAAGTCACAGCAACCACGGAGTCTCAGTGTCCCCATCTGCAGAGTGGGGATAATGCTGCACCTGCCTCAAGCCACAGCAGGGATTAACAGATCACACACAGGGCCTGGCAGCTGTTTCTGTGGCAGATCAGCCACCTGCCAGGGGCCTGTCCTCCTGGGGCCAGGGGAAGCTCCAGCAGGGCACTGGCCCGCGGTGCCTGGGGAGGAAGGGGAGGGGAGGGCCCTGGCTGCCAGCCCATGGACTGCCCCCTCCAAGGAAACCAGACCTGCTGTCCCTCCACACACAAAGGCAGCCCTTAAGACTTGGCATCGACCGAGGCCCAGTCTGGGAGCCAAGGCTGCCCCACCCATCCAGGCTGCTGGGGGACCGCATCCTGGAGGAGGTAGCCGTGGGAGGTCCCTGCAGGCGGGCTCCGCAGCAGCGACTTCCGCTTAGTGCTCCCCCCCGGCAGTGCGCAGGGCCTCCCCTACCCCAAACCCTGTGCATGGCAGTGAGGGTGATGGGTTGGGGACAGGACTGAGAGCAAGGCAGGTGTGCCCCCGCGCCTGCCATCAGAGCCAGAGGCCTCCCGCAGGTGGAGCAAACACGTCCCCATGAACAGCCAGGTAACTTGCATGGTGGAATAAACAAAACAGGCTGACACCTGGCACGGTGCAGGGCAGCACCCTGGGTGGCCCAGAGCAGAAGCCCGCTGAGGAGGTGACATCTAAGTGGAGATGCAGGGAGCAGCAGGCAGGAAGGCCGCAGGCAGCGGCCAGGTCTTTGGGCCCCCAGTACACTGCCCCCACCCACCCCACAGAGGGCCAGGGCAGGGGAGGGCCTTGTGGGCCACATCCGAAGCCTAAGGGTGACCATCAAACTAGAAGTCAGGGCTCCCTCACTGGGGTGATCATCAGATGGGCTCAGGGCTCACCGACAACCCCACCCACAGGGGCTGGCTCAGGTGGGGAGTCAGCAAAGTGGGGGTGCACAGGCTGCCTGCTAGGAAAGTCCCAGAGGCCGGGTGCAGATCAAGGGTTGAGGGTCAAGAGTGAGGGCTCGTCTCCCGGAAACCCAGGAAGCATGTGCTCAGCCCTCACCGGGCAACTAGATGGTCTGGCAAGTGAGGGAGGAGGAGGTCCGAGTCCCTGCTCACCATGCACCAAGCAGCCAGCCAGAGAAGGTGCCCTCCACGGCCAGAGCCCCCACTGGCCCTCTGCCAGGCTGCGGCTCACAGAGAACAGGGCTGGGAAGCCAGGCTCCCTCCAGCCCTCCCTCAGGGGGTCCTGCCAGGGGCGAACTAGGAAGCAGTAAGGGGCTGAGGGCTGAGGAGGACTTCCCCTTGAGGTAAGTTGCAAGCTGGCCTGGCCCCAGACCAGTCCCAATTCCTCTGACGCCCGCCTGAGTTTGCCAGGGTGGGAGAATGGGAGGGCCCCTGTCCACTCCAGCCACACACTCACTGCCTCACCCAATTGCCCCCTGGCAGTGCCCCAGGCTCCCTTTCTATCCCATCTCCTGGGGCTGGGCATCTCCAGGGCAGAAAGTCCCTACGACCTTTGGGCTGTGCTGCTAGGTCCCAGGGCCCCTGTCCAAGCGACTCACACCCACACCAGTGCAGACCAGATTCCTGAGGTGGGAACAGCCATGCCAGTGCTGTCCCCAGCACCTCCTCTGCCCACCCTTGCCCCACCTGGCCAGGCCTGCAGTGAGGCCCTATCCCCCACCCAGGGCTCTCCAACAAAAGGTGGAAGAGGGGGTGTCTGGGTCACAGGTCTCTGTCCACCCAGTGGCCCTACTATAGGGGCTTGCATGGCAGGCTTTCAAAGAGTCTTCGCCTCCCTGCTGGACCTGCGCTGGGGGAGGCAGGGCCTACTCCTGAGCGTGGAGCACCAGACCTGTATGCTGAGCAGCCACTGTGTAGCTGCCTTCCAGGCCAGGGGAGGGGGGAATGGCGCTGTGTCCATTCCACAGATGAGGAACTTGAGGCTCAGCCAGGGGCGCTACCCAGCGCAGGAGTGGCAGAGAAGGGCTCTGAGCCCCGGCCATCCGGCTTTAACTCACACAGAGGCAACAGCAGCCACTAGGGGAGAGAGCCAGGCAGGCAGCGCTCCCCGAGGGCCTGTCTTCTGAAAGCCACGACAGGGAGGGTGGTCTGGGGCCTCCCTGGCTGAAGCGGCAAACTCCCAACTAGCCAACAAGGAGGGGCCCGGGGAGCTCAGCCAGGCCCTCTTCATCCCGGGGCTCCCTCCTGGGACCCAGCCGGGAGACCTCAGCCTCCCACCCCTCCAACCAGCTGACTCTGCTCCTGCTGTGCGACTTCAAGCAGGTGTCTGAGCCTTTCCCAGCCTCGGCTTCCCTATCTGAAGAGTAGGCTGCCACCCCCATCTCAGAGGACTGTGCTAGGCTTGGAGAGATTGCGGAGGGGCAGCACACCTCCTCTGGTGCCCTCCTCCCCACCAGAGGCCCAAGGGTGGGGTGGGTGCGCAGCCACGAGGCGCCCGGCCCGCTCCCTCTTTCCTCTCCCACTTCCTGGCTCCTGGGCCCTCCTCCCCGACCCCAGCCAACCCATTCTCAGCCACTCTCCTTCCCAGCCTCTGGGACCAGGAAGGTGGGGCAGGTCCCAAGCGGAGGAGGCTCGGGTTACACCGGCCCCCGGGGCCCCCAGACTCTGGTGAGGCAGGGGTTGGAAGTGTGGCTTAGGGTGCGCTGCTCGGGCACACCTGAGCCCCCAAGGCCCAACCTAGCTCCAAAGGAAGTCCTGAGGATCTGGACAGCCTAGCTTTCCAGGTCAGGGCTCCCATGAAACCCACCTGCAGGCTTCTGTCTTGGAGGATGTGCCTCCGGGGCGTTTGCAGGGACGAACTCCACCTACATCTCCCCAGCGAGCCTGAAGCCCAGGACCCACCGCCGGCTGGTCAGCGAGGCGGCCCCTGACCCCCACGGGGTTCCCAGTCCCAGTTAGAGCTGGGGTGCTTGCCCTTCTCCACTTCGAAGGTCCCACTGAACTCCCAGACCCAATCGGGAGGCTTCAACGCTTGGCTGCCAACAGGGAAAGCGCCAAACCCCGAAGCGCGGCGCCGGGCCCTCCCGCCTTCACCCGTCCCCATCCGGAGGCCAGCAGGTTCCAGCCTGTCCCGGGGGAAGGCGGAGCCGCCCGCCCCCTCCTCACAGGCCGCCAGCGCCCACGCCAAGTCCCGCCCTCGCCGGGATCCCGGACTCGGGGCGCCAGGGACCGGGCAGCAGCCCCTTCCCGCCCAGGTCACCGCCACCGAACTGGGCCAGCGCCCGCCGACCCCGGGGTCCCAAGCCCGCCGGTCCGCGGCGGGGACACTTCGTGGGACTTTCAGGAGGACGCGCAGTTTCCCCGCCGGGCCTGAGCGCCGGGCCGGAGGTCCCTCCCGGTACCCCGAGAGGCGGGACCCGGGGTGCGGACGCGAGAGGTGGGACCCGGGCTCCCCCGGCCCGCCGCGCTC